GAGAAATTCGTCATGTCTGGTAGGCTGTGCCTATTTCCTCAACAATGTTGCAAAATGAAAGCATCAACTCAAGTTCAAAGAGAGGATATGATTTTTGCATCAAGCCCGTTGTGTCTGCCTACCAATATATAATATCAGAAAAACCACAGCGGTGGAATATGTAGGCATTGAATTCATGTCCCTATTTCATTTATATCCAATCATAAATTTTTCACGCTTGTCCGTTGCTGCCGTACAGATAGTCGGAGACAAAGGAAGAGAGGATTCTGCTTACCTGCTTACCTCCACAGGTACCTAATCCTATTTTTCTAACTTTTTGTACGCTTTAGTAGCCGCTAGCCCAGCTCACATAGGGGAAGCCGGGGGAAGCCCGGCATAGTAAGCTCTTTTTCATTTTTATTACATACCATACGTGCTGTATAAAATGTTGATATCCTGTTAGCTAGCTAAGTCCATTGGCCGTGTTTTCCCAAAAATTCGGTTTCGTGGAATAAGTATAAGGTTGAGAAAATCGAGTTTTAAAAAAGTGTTGATTTTTCTGGGGTAAGCCGGCATAGGGGTAACGCGTAAAAATAGGGGTAAAAAATGTGTATTTCAAAATTCCTTGAAATTTATTTTTCTTTTTACCTTAATGCATCATATTGCATATCATTCGACTCGACTGATGAAGAAGAACACAACGACACCATTTTTGAAGCTCTAGCTTCATTGTCTGTCGCGTTATCTGCAAAAACGTAGTTTGACCCTAGTTGACCTTAAGTGACATAACTGGCTTTGTCTATGATAACATGTTTATTTTCGAAATTTATCTTTGATCTAGGTGTAAACCAAACCTGCTCAGTACCTATTATCTCATGGAAAACAGTGGTTTAGTGGCATTGCTCTCGGTTGGGGGTAAGCTTGGCCACTTGCCCGGGGTTACCCCAATGTGCTAATTTTTATTTTAGAACAGCGATATTCGAAAAAAATGTCATACTTAAGCCAGTCTGCCTCGTCACCCCTCACTACAAACACCTAAACGGTCCTTATACATAACATTCGTATAAATATTAGTACTGTATGGTATAACATTAACAGTGCAACATATCTCACTTTTTAGCTAAAAACTCTTAAAATATCATTTTTGCGCTATAACTTTAACAATATGCAATTTTTGTTAGCCTTAACTTTTTTGCTGGCGTTACCTTAGCTGCCACGCTGAAAGGACAAACAGTTGAGCATTTTATTGTGAATAATTTAGCCGGAAACGGGGTGGCCGGGCTTCCCCCGCGCCCGGGCTTCCCCCGGCTTCCCCTACCTGCTGTAGTCATGGTCGCCGCTGTCGGGGTACTGTGGCTCGTGCAGGTCGGCCGGCGCGCTCGTCGCTCAGGGGCCCGTCCGATACTGGGGCGGTTGGGGAACGTAATATCGCCCTCCCTCTGTCGTCTCATCAGAGGACGCAGTAAGCCGGGAGCCGATACTGCGTCACAGCCTATTCAATTGGCCTCGATACAGCTCGCAGTTGGGATGGCCGAGGCAATAATTATTATCGACTCTGTCAATAGCCAGCTCTCCGATAAAATATGACGATTTCTATGAACTGAACGAGATCTATCAGCGCACTTTGAAACGGCATGTGGTGATGGATATTGTAGGTATGCTCAGCCAAAAGATAGCCACATAATCGGTAGCTCATTTCGCAAAATGAAGCACGCACGGCATAGTTACGGAATATCGTTCATCGAGTTTTCGGTAGCATATGTAATGTAAATAAAATTGGAAGAAACGAAAAATACCTACTTACTAACCCACTTATGACTGGGGGGGGGGGGGACTTTTTACAGCGTCCCTCCGATTTTGCCACAGCAGCTTCAAAACCGCTAAAGGTATAGGTTATTGTAGCACGGGAGCGGACCCCTCACCTCCTCTCGGGAGCAGCGCTCCGCCCTCCTCCAGAGACCCACTATGAAGCACTGCCAGTATTTTCGGCTAACACACCACGTTATGCAACAGGTGGTCGGTGCCAAGCATGACACAAAAATGGGTCAGCCTGCAATCGTGAGGTGCGTCAGTTCCTGAAAGCGTTGGTCCCTGCCAAACGAGCTAGTTAGAAATAGTTTTTCGTTGACAGCGACTGTGCCCATGAGAACGAGCCGCACGCGTAAGCATGGCTGAACCCATAGTTCGCTAACAAGGCATCAACGGCATCAACACAGAAGTTTCCGTACCCTCGTCTGGGCAGTGTGGTGGTCATCCCAAATGAAACGGACTCAGTTTCTGCGACGCACCGGTCGGTAATCGACTCATCAGAATGCCTTCTTTTTTATTTTTATAGCCGCTTTATTCTTATCTCATAACGCTAAAACACTTAATGATAAGGCATCGCTGTCATCGATGCCTTCTTGCCGTTCTGTGGCCTAAAAGGCGAGCTAAAGGTGGCTGCCTTAAAATTGCCTCCTCTTCTCCCCATTGTTTCGATCGGAATTCGGACAATTCCATCACGACGTAGATAATTTAGTTATCCATAGATCACAACACTGAACACGCCAGATCTTTAACCCGCGCCCCGTAGGGCTATCGGCGGACCCTACCAACCTAAGGGGGCCTTTTCGGCCCCCCGCCTAAGATAGGTATAGGAAATTTACCGAAATCCGATTTTCAAAATTCAAAGGGCGTTTGATAGCCCCACCGGGGAACTACCTTGTGACCAAAATTCATTGACCTAGGTCAAACCGATGACGTCACAGGTCAGGTCAAAGGTCGGATTTTCACCGTTCACAGGCATTTCAAGAAATGTGTTGTGAAATCCAGTAAATTGGTAAGTTATTGAAAACCATCGATGGTATATTGTTCGTCAAACACATACTTTGCTATCTGAGGTCACTGATACCAGGTCAGGTCACAGAGGTCAGGTCACTGGGGGTCACAATATGAAAAAATCGTGTAATACATGTTTTATGGTCCATTTTACATGACAAATGCGATAATGTGGGTCAGGCAGCCTTTGGAGCCAGTTTGGGTTACGTTCTGGTGAAGGTCAGGTCAAGGTCAGGTCAAATTAGGTCAAATTTCAAAGTTGATATTTTTGCATAAAATGGGTATCGTTTCGATGCAGCTTGTCACGGGGAGTCTAATGGTGGTCTTTGTTTTGCCTTACGTGGTCTAGAATTGCCAAAAATTGAGTTTGAAAATTTGATGTCATCATTTTTGAAGTTTTTTTTTCGCTATAACTTGGCCAAAAAAAGAGATATCGATCTGAAATTTGGTATGTAGATAGAAAATGATAGGCACTATCATATATATTCCGTTTTTTAAACTCAAAAACTTTTTGGATTTTTGGCTAATATATCCAAAAAATTACTTTTTTTATTTTGGGGGGTCAAACTTCAAAAATGTCAAAAATCCGAGATAGCAGTTTTGTAGCCCTGTCCATTCTACACCTTTTACGTCTTGATCATTTTTTTAATCTTCAAAGCTGTAGGCCTGACAGCTCTTCTCGCGAAGCTCTTTTTTCGGTCAAAAAATGGCAGAACATGACGGCATTCTGACGTCATTTGTCGCCAACCTATCATACCCCGCGTTCGATGTCTCCCGGACGGCGAAGATTCTACGCCGTCCGGCCAATCACGTTCCAGAACCGCAGCCGAGCCCTCGCTGACCTTGGACGGGACTGGCCGGACGACGTAGAATCAGATGGCCTTGGTAGAATCTTCGTCGTCCGAGAGACATCGAACGCGGGGATAGTCTCTGGAAAATTTTTGTCACAGTGTGTCAAATTGATGCCCGGAGGGGTCCTGAAAGTTTGGTGGTGATATCTGCAGCCGTTTAGGATATATCGACGGAAAAGTACAGGAGGGCTGTTTCGGCCTCCTCCTACAGGGCGCGGGTTATGTCGATCCTCAGTCATAAGCAGGTTTACGAAGCTTTCCCTACATTAGGAAACAAGACATCAGGCGGAAATTTCAATTTCATTTCTAGTAACGGTCGTAAGTCGTTTACTGGCTATCGCACTTGCTTTCTGCATGCAATTCACGTTTTACTATCGCTCTTATAAATCTCCACTATTTCGAACGGTGAGAGTTGCGCGTGGTCTGTCACCTCCGCCCACTCAGAGCAGCCAGCCCCGTCCCCAAACTGGTCTTACGCACTGGCCGTTGACCACGCTCGGCCAAACGGTCTCCTTGATCACGAAACTGGATATATCCGCCCCAAACCGGCTGGAATCAGACCGTGAGAGGCTCGCGTGTCACTTCTAGCCGGTTAGGGATGGTCAAAGCCTTCAGTCAGCGGCTGATGACGCATCGCCCCCCGCCCCTCCACAGACTTCCCACGACGAAAATGATTACAGTGCGGAACGATCTCACGCTCGACATTGCACGTACTCGTGAGTTGCAAACAGACAAAACGCTGGACTGGGTCTACACCAGATTGAACTGCTCCGCGCCGGTACGAATATAGCAACCGGACAAATGCACCGAATGCAGCCTGCGCCGCACTTCATCGCGTCGGTTTTTTCTCGTTCTATTCATTCTCAGGTGCTCGTGTATTGTGGGTGGGTGTGTTATGGGGAATCGGTTACAGGCAGCTTTTGCAAAATTGTACGGGAACTCAGAATTGTTCTGACCCAGCCGGGAAGTGGTTTTCTTCAACGGTGGCAATAAACTAGTGGCAATAAACTAGAATTATTTTTCTTATTACTTCCAACCAATGTCTATGCATTCAAATCTATAAGAATGGAGCATCTTTCACTACCCGTCCTGGGGCCGTTTGATGTTCTCAGCAGGTATTTGTAACTCGCCCCACCATTTCGATTACCAGTCCGTCCAGTCAGCAACAGTGCCTCGTTCGTGAGTGATCATATGAAGAGGACGAACTCCACCTGCTCACTCTGCTGTCACTCAGAGACGACGTGGGAAAACTCGTACAACCATGAAAGGTCCAGGAGTTGGGCCACCATGGAAGGATGGATGGATTTGAACCAACAGCGCGCCCCCACCTATTACGCCGGATATTAACGAGTCGACACTTGATTAATTGTATTGATTACATTTCCACTGAAGGACATGTGAAGGAAAAACTAACAGCAATCTCACAGTAATTTACCATAATTATCATCGGCCCGCTCTCCCGACCCCAGCCCGCTTCTCAGAAGCGCCGCCCACCGCGGCTCGGCCAGGGCACGGGCCCGTCACACGGCTCGCTCTGTTGCGAACAGTGTATTCAGTTGAATCAAGCCAAGCCAACGATCGCCACACCGCATCACTGCCGCTGCCGGAGCGGCCTCTGTTGGACACCGTCCACTCGCCGGGCGGCCGCGCCGGCCCCAGTCCGACCGCCGAGCGTCCCCTCGCCACTGTCACACACACGCGCACACGTCACGCCGCCCGAGTCCGCGCCGCGGGCGCTGGTCAGCGGCCCGCTGCCGCCTCCTCCCCGTTAGCCTGAGAGCCGCCCGAGGCCGGCTCGGCGGCCGCAGACACTGACGCTGCCGCCGCCGCCGCCGCCGCGCATTTGACCTTTTCGATGACGCCGGCGGCGCTGGCGGCCGCGTCCTCGGTCAGATCTTGGATGGCGTTGAGACCGGCCGGCCGGCCGCTCGGAGACAGGCCCACTGTGGGCTTCTCCTGACTGGCGGGCCCGGCGCCGGCAGAGGAGACCGCTCCGGAGTCCGGGCCGGAGGCGGCGGGGGCGGGGGCGGGAGACGGCGCCCGGTCCGGCTCCAGGACCCCCTCCAGGTCCGGCGGCGGGCGCAGTTTCTTCAGTTCTTCCTGCAGAGCGGCGAAGTGCGACTGGCGAGAGAGGAAATATCGTTAGTGCATGGCTAGACCCCATGCCTACCTTACCAGAACGAATTGTTGACAATGACTTTGTGGCGAACAGTGGTTTTGTAAAAGCAGCCACCAACAGTTCATGGCCCACTCATCACTGAATATTGTTTTTGTGATGCGAAAAATACAATGTTGATACCGCTAACCGCAAACATAATTGCTGTTGAACTCAGAACCGTCTCTTTCCAGCCAATCCCTCTCCGCGGGACCAGTCCCTTTCTTGCCAAAAGACAGATCATCACAGAATCAGCCCCCTCTCCCTCCCCTGCCGACCTGGCGTGTCAACCCGTCTCTTACCTTGAGCGCCTGCAGTGAGACGTGCAGCGTTTTGGAGGAGCGCCGGTCGGTCGCGTAGCCTTCCATCTCCGTGATCCAGCCTTGCACCTGGTCCACGATCTCGTGCCGCTTCAGGTAGAAATGTTTCTCTATCACCTGTCGACGTCGGCCGAGGATGTCAGAAGTGACAGAGTTAATTTGCTACAGCACGATCGCACTGACGTGGGCTAAGAAAAGGGCTAAGAAAGGGCTAAGACGGTCATATGGGTGTTTTTTTTTCATAGCTGAAAAACGACATAAAAATGTTGACAGGCAGTTTGACCATTAACTGATTCTAGAATTACAGTACTCTATTCATTTGGTCACATGGCTGTGAAATACGCTATCGGCTACCAGAATGAACTATTCCAACCCACTTGTCATGCCTCCAGCTTTCCCTTCCCTGCGCCCACCCCGTCCCCCACGAACGCACCTCCTTGAAGCAGGGGCACGGTTTTCTGATCTGCTCCAGCATGGCCCAGCGGACGGTCGCCTGGCGAATGTTGGCGTCGTACTCCCGACTGCTTTGAGTCCCGCTCGGTGTGCCGCGCGAGCGCTCGTAGCCCGGCTCGTTAAAGTACGGCTCGGCCACCAGAATCAGCGACTGGATGGAGACGAGAACTTGCAGGAAGCTACTCGTTTGGGGGCTCCACTTCTCCTCGGGCCGTCCGTGCCAGGTGTTGAGCACGGACAGACACACCTTTCCGTCGTTGTAGAGGTTGGGGTTGAAGCGCACCGTGTTGCGTCCCGTGGTGTCCAGGTTGATCAACATGGGCGCGTTCGGGTAGTCGTAGGGGAAGTAGACGTCAAACAGGAAACAGCCGTTCGAGTAGGGGGTGTCGGCCGGCGCGGTGATGAGAACCTTCATCAGATCCAGCCGTCCCAAGTCGACACGCACGAACACAGAGCTGCTGAAGCTCAGCGGCAGACTGGTGGAGAGGGTGACCGTCTCCTGCGCTAGTCGCTTCATACGAGCGGGGTGCGAGCGCTCGCCGGCTGCCCGCATCGTCGACTCGAAGTGGTGAGACACCACGAACCGCGTGCCTCCGTTGGGGTTCTCCACGATCATCTCGTGTGTGTCAAACTGCAGTGGTTTCATCGTCTCCAGGTAGATGTCGTGCAGGGAGCGGACGGCCGGCGCGGCGGCGGCGGTGGCCGGCGCGCTCGGTCCGGCCGCCGTCGGGTCCGGAGCCGCCACGGCCACCTCCACCAGCCGCCACGTGTGCTGGATGTTGTGCAGCAGCCGCGCCAGGCCTCCATCCTCCTCCTCGCGCGGCCAGCCGCTCTTGGCCGCCTTGTCGGCCTTGCGCGTCTTGCTGGACTGCAGGTGGGAGGTGTAGGTGTCCACCACCTGTCGCATGTTGGCCAGCAGCGGCGCCACCTGCGCCAGCAGCGGTGTCAGCTGCCGGCTGGTGGAGAAGGCGCGCAGCAGCCGCAGCACGGCCAGGTACAGCGGCACGTGGCGAGCCATGTCCAGCACAGAGTCGTTGCGCAGGTACGAGCACACCGCGGTCAGGATGTTGGACTCGCGCACCCGCTCGGCCAGGCCGTCCGGCAGCAGGTCGGTCGGCTCGGCCGGCTCGGTGCCGTCCGAGCTGGAGCTGCTGCTACTGCTGCTGCTGCTTCCGCTGCTGCCGGTACCGGTACCGCCGTCTCCGGGGTTGATGTAACTCGCCAGCGTCTGTCGGGGAAAGAAAACGGGTGTCAGTTAACTTTGTCAAAACATCAAACAAGCATGAAGCAACATGTTCGTGTGTAAGGATTGTAAAAAGGAATGAAGCCTTAAAACAGCGTAAATATTTCACGGAACAGTAGCTAAATGCTAATATCGTTGTGGAGCATGAATTGAAGATTGTTAATCCATCAGTTATGATCTGTAATAATAAACCCTGTCACATAACGGGAAAACCCTGTCACATCCAGCCGGGTAACTTCCTGTCTTCCCCTTAAAACGCCCACTCTTCTATGCCCAAGTCACCCAAAGTCTTTACTATCATCACCTGCCCACAGTACCCCTCTTCCGTTCCCAGTTACCTGTATGAGCCAGGTGACCTGTTCCTCCTCTGACTTTTGCCGCAACATGGCCTGCTCGACGTTCCACTTCTGACTAGTGCTGCCGGTGCCGAAGCCGGTGCCCTTGGCCCAGTACTGGTGAGAGCGATCGTCGCCGGCCCGCTGAGACTGCGCCTCCGACAGCAGCTGGTTCCGAGTGGTCGCCAGGATCAGCTGGAGGACGGGATATGGTCAGCAGGTCAGGTCACCAGCTCAGGTCATGTCAGATAACTGGTTTAGGTCACAGAGTCAGTGTGATATGCAGTAGGTACCAGATTTAGAGGTTCAGCAAATAAGTCATGAAGCGCCAATCCAAGTAATACGAGATGTTTGACGATTAGACCACTAATCATAAAATCGACAACGGTCTGATTAGACACAAAACACATAAAACAATTGCCCTCTCTTCCTTGTCAGACCACACACACTAGTATCTTCCCATCATCTCTCTCACCCTTTAAAAACGACAAACTCGTGTTTCTTGAACCGGCGAGGCGCTCACCTGGTACTCCAGCGCGGGCAGCTGTACGGCCCGTACTCCGTGTCGCTGATCTTACCTGGTACTCCAGCGCGGGCATCTGCACCGCCGTCTCCGTGTGACTGAGCACGGCCGGTACTCCGTGTCGCTGAGCTCACCTGGTACTCCAGCGCGGGCAGCTGCACAGTCGGTACTCCGTGTCGCTGAGCTCACCTGGTACTCCAGCGCGGGCAGCTGCACGGCTGTCTCCGTGTGACTGAGTACAGTCCGTACCCCGTGTCGCTGATCTTACCTGGTACTCCAGCGCGGGCAGCTGCACGGCTGTCTCCGTGTGACTGAGCACGGCCGTGCAGGCCAGCAGGAAGTTGACGGCGCCGATCTCCAGACAGCGCCGCCGCAGCAGCTGCCCGTCGTCCGTGGTCAGCTGGGTGGCATCCAGGAGTCGCTGCATCAACTGGAACGGGTAGAGCGGCAGCTCGGCAGAGCCCGGCTGGCGCAGAATCTCGTCTGGGGGAGGGGGGAGACGGGTTAGAGACGGGCGGAGATAGAACGGTCAGACATGGGTAGAGTCACAGGCAGAAAAGCAGACGGGACAGAGACAGCCGAATCTGTCTAGCATTCGACTACTATGCCCATTTATCATATTTGCAGACATTTATGCAAAAGATCAAGCCAATTTTGAAGTATCAGACACAAAGTAATCATGATGAAAGGCTATCCGACTATCCAGTGAAATAATCTATCGTCGATAATTCTTTATCGGTAATTTTTGACAATTTTGAACAGTTTCGTAGACACAGCGTTGCCCAGCCGTTGCACTATCCCATGACCCTGGGTTGTAACGAGTGCTTACTTCCGTCTCCATCATCTGTGACGCCCAGCGACAGCCGCAGCAGATGACGGGCGGACACCTGGTCCTGTAGCAGCAGCTCAGCGTACCCCGGCAGTCTGAGGTACGAACACAGACAGGCAGACGTGTCAGTCACCTTGATCACCAATCTGACGATCCTGCCGACATTTCAAGATAACTTTTCGACATTTACCCCTCAAATACCCTCTGCCTTCCCCAGAGACATTTAAGGACGTCTCCTTTCATTTCCAATGTCTGATCCCTGACCACTCACCGTAGAAAGAGGCCGAAGCAGGCGATGCTGTGCGGTGACATGACGGGCACCAGGCCGGCCGATCCACCGGCGCCCGTGGTACCGCCGGATCCCCCGCCGCCGCCGCCGCCGGTCAGCGGCATCAGACCGCTGACGTACTCATCCTCCTCGGGCTGGTCCACCTTGACCCACTCGGCGTCGGTGAGGTCGGCCGGCGGCGGCCGGTCGGTCCGCCCGCCGCCCGGAGCCGGCGGCGGCGCGCCACCCTCGGGGAACAGCAGCGGCAGGGTGCCGGCCAGCAGCGCCAGGCCGCCCTCGGCCGCGAACACGGAGAGCACGGAGGGGAACACGGGAGCGGCCAGCACGGCGGCCGCCAGATCGTCCGCGCGGCGGCTCGGCGAGCCCGACCCGCCTCCTGGAACGGGAGAACAGACTCAAGGGGCTTAGACGGAGTGCAATGCTGATTGGCAAGACCAAACGCAGCACTGCAACAGGCGAGGAACCGGCGGGCACTGGTTCCAGGGTAATGCAGACTGGACGGCGGACGCCAATTATTTGACCGACAGTAACTACAGCAAAAATATGATCCAGCAACATGACTTGGTACCCATCAGAAGCACTCGATTACGAACATACCGTCAATGACACACCACGCGCCATCACCGCCCTCAGAGCCGCAGTCAACTGCTCTACCACCCACCTTGCGTCCGCGCGGCGCCGTGCTGGCCGCCGCTCCTCTGGCGCACGGTGAGGCTGACGTAGGGCGACTGGGCGGCGGCGGCCAGACGCTCCGAGCGCACAGTCAGCACCTGGCTGAGGCTGGCCGCTGGCGGCAGCGGCTGGTCGCCCAGCTGAGCGTCCACCAGCTCGTAGCGGGTCTCCGGGGCGGCCGGGGTGGCCGGCTCCGGCAGACAGTCTGTGACAAGGAAACGGACGGGTGTGATGGCTGTTTTTACATGTGCCAACACGGTACAAAGAGAAGTGGTAGCGGAATGGTCAGCCCTTAACCCCACTACCCTGTACAATTCTTCAATTTAACCGTAATTTCCGTGAAGCCACTGGAACTGATGATCGTCAAACTAATTAATAGTTTACGAAAAAAGCCCAATTGACTGTCATAATGCTAGCAGCACATTACTTTTGAAAACGGGTTAAATCTAGATGTGTGTTCACTGTTCATAAGCCTGAGCGGACCCCAACTTGCCCGAAATTGATTCCCCTTAGCCGTAATGGTGGTTCCTCCTAGTCGGTCCTCGGACAACTTCCATCAACACCTCTCCCACCTCGTGCACTGACCTGCCGTCCGTCGTATCCGTTTTCCGTACTTCTTCTCCTTGATGACTTTGTAGAGCACCGGAGTGCCTGTGGAGCCGCTGGGGTCGGTGTCTGCAGCCGTGGCCGCGTTCGCCTGGTTCTTCTGGTCCTTGTCGGCACGCAGCGGTGGCGGATCTTTGGAGCTGGAGGCGCCATCCGAGCCCTCCAGACCTGCAGCCAGTAGCGTCAGGTCAGGTCAGGTCGGTAAGGTGCATTATAAGGGAGCTGGACTGGTCATATCACGGTGCATATGAAGGGTGATGCGATGTAGGTCAAGATTGCTCAGTGTCAAAACCCAAGACAGCAAGAACTGTGCAAGGAGGACACTCGTAGTTAATGTGCTTCTCAGTCCCCACTAGTTTCTCCCGACTCATCGAAATCCTGCGACTAAGTAGGCCCTGAACCCTTCCTCTCCCGTCGCCCCGCCCCCATCACCCACCGAGAGCTGTCTGCAGCACGGTGGCCACGGTAGCGTCGGTCCGGAACACCAGCAGGGTGTCTGCCCAGAGTCGGGGGTGCTCCAGCGGCCAGAGTCCTCCGGCGGCCGCCGGCAGCGGGCCGGCCGGCGGCGCGGCGCGCAGCAGCACGCTCACTCGCTCGCCCTCCAGCAGCAGCCGCAGCACCAGCCGGCGCGTGAAGCCCTGCAGCCGCGGCCGGCAGCCGGCCGGGGCCTCCAGCCGCGCGGCCAGCACGTCACACACGGTGGCCGCCAGCCGGCGCTGGTTGGCCGGGTGGCCGTGGCAGCAGCGCGCCAGCAGCCGCAGCAGCTCCGTCTCCAGGGCGGCGGGACGAGCCGGACGGGCCGTCAGCAGACGCACTAGACTCAGCCAGTAGACGGAGGCCGTATCGGAGGCCAGCCAGTCCCGCACCCGCGGCTCCCAGCAGGCGGCGCTCAGCAGCGACAGCAGCGCCGGCATCTGGGCATGGAGGGGATCGGTGAGTTAGTGACGCTGCACCAGCGGTGGCGGTAGGCCGGACCATACCTAGGAGAATTCGTCAATTAATTAAGCATGTTATTCGCCAACAAACGCAAGTCATCAGTTGCCTTTACCCCCAACTGTCATCAAAAGAAAAGCATTGGACAGTTTCTAATGAACGTAACTATTTGGGATCAAGAAAAAAAAACGCATCGCCCAGGACCTGATCTGCGAATTTGAGGTGTCCTGTGCTGACCTGGGACCCCGCGCTGGCGGCCTGCAGCGTCGCTCCGCCGCCGCCGCAGCTCTGTTTGTCGGTGTCGGTCAGACTCTCGTCCAGCTCCGCCGGCTGCTGATCGGTTACGGCGCTGTCCAGGCCGCCCATCTCGGCACAACAGTCTGCAACGAAACGAAACGTCGAGCCAACGTCGAGCCAGTCCTAGAACGTAAGACACGCAGCCATTCCCAAAATATTAAAAAGAAAGAAATAAATACCAGACGGGGAGGTCAGCAGGTAGGTAGTGCATAGAAGCCTTAGCATCGTCCATATATTGAGGGAGGCGGCAGTACAAGTTAGGTTAGGAACGCATATTCCTGCCCCACTCGCGTCTCCGTCCCATCACAGACAAGCCTCTCGTCCCTCATCTCCCAGCTCCTTGAACCCTCTCCCTATCCCGCCGTTCGCCCGTACCGTGCACGGCCTGGACGAGGACGGCGTGCAGCAGACCGGCGTCCACGGCGTGCGCCACGGCCGCCGGCGCCTGCAGTACGGCCGCCAGAGTGGCCAGCTGGCCGCCGCCCAGCTCCAGACGCTCGGCGGGCAGCAGCCGGGACGCCGCCGCCGCCGCCGCCGCCTCGTCAGTGGCCGCCGCGCCGCCGTGCTTGGCGTCATCGGTGACGGACGCACACGCCTCCGCCTCGCGGTCCTTCCTGAGGGTTGGAACAAGGCGAAGGAACGGGGTTAATACGCAGAAGCTAGATGGAAAGTGGAACAGAAGAATGATTTCGGCAGCCGCGCATCTCAAATCAAACATCAGACAGGCCCAGCCCCATCCGTCCAGGGTGGACTTCTAAGTAAGAAGGCACCAATCACTTGCACTCGTCTAAGATTTATTCATGTCTGAAAATAAGCACCAAACCATGAGGCACAACCCACCTTACCATACACCCTTCAGTTCCGCCCTCCGTCATCCCTGACCTGTCGTCGGTGGCGTTGGCGCCGTCTCCGGGCAGCACCAGCACGCCCATGGTGTGTAGGAGGGGCCGCAGCAGCGCCGGACGCAGGTGGCATAGGGCGCACAGCACCCAGTCGAGGGAGCGCTTCAGTGCAGAGTCGGCAGACAGACGGCTGCACCAGCCGTACACAACACTGCAAAAGGGAACAAGGAACAACGTAAACAGATCAGTCATCATACTGTAGTAGGCACCGGAAACCGTGTGAACAGCCGTACATCAAACTGCGAGCTGCAGCAGCTGGCACGGGGAATAACGAAAACAGACAATAATATTTCGTGTTAGAGATTTCAAGAAAATTTTGTGTTTCGTGTTAACACTCTTTCAACAGCTAACAACAGGTGTCTACTAAAGCTGCGATCAATCGAATACCTAGCATGCTGATAAGTCAACTACACATGATCTTGCTTCTACAGCTAGATGGAGTCGGTCAAATAAGTCTAAGTGACGGCAGCGGTACTCACGTGACTAGATCGGCCGGAATCAGCTGCTGCACCTCCTCGCGCCCCATGTCGGCCACCGTCCAGAGGATGGCCGCTATACAGTGCACCATCACAGGGTGCAGTGGGCCCAGCGGCGGCGACGAATCCTGACGACCGAGAAGCGCGGAAGGCGTTAAGAGGGTGGGCGGTGCACACTCAACGGATGGCTGCTCGTTGACGGCGGCTGATCGGCGACAAAGGTAGAAGAGTAAATCGACAGACTACTGTACGTAATGGGCTTGATATACCGGAGCAGCTAGTCAAACTAATAGAAGTTACTATTAAATGACGACTAGCGACAGCATTAAGTACACTCATAGGACGCATAAATCATCACAGAACGCCTAAATGATCGGTAACAGTTAAAGCAAAACATATCAAATTGAAAATTAAAGGCAAGCACACTGCCCTCTGGTCGCACTCACCGCTCCCAGGGCGCCCTCCCGCAGCCAGGTGAAGAGCTCGAACACCCGGTTACCGATGAACTGATCATCAGTCGTGGCCAGCTGGTAGAGCAGCCGCACGGGCTGCCGTCCTCCGTCAGCGGGCGGCGGGCGGCGCAGCAGCTCCCGCACCAGCCCCAGGCCCAGCTCGGGCTGGTGGCGGCCCAGCAGCAGCAGCAGACGGACGGCGCGCCGGGCGCTCTCGGCCGACCGGGAGGCTGCTGTCAGCAGCGCGCGGCTGCGCTCCAGCAGCCGCGGCGCCGCGCACAGCCGGTCCAGCACCTCCGTGTCGGCGGAGGGCTGCAGCGCGGCGTCCAGCAGACGCAGCCACAGGTGGCTGAGGGGGGAGAGAGCGGTCAGAGATCCGGTGGCTGACAGATGGGCGTCACAGAACGCAGAAAACACAGCAACCTATATTTACAGGTAGTTCATACAGCAACGCAGAAGACAACGTAGGTGGCTGCCGATAGTACACACAAACAACACTGATCAACAAAATGATGCATAAAAAATGATACATAGCCATAAAACAAATGCAAAAGGAATCGAATCGCATCAAACGTTCAACGTTACCAAGTGTAGCCCGTTAGCAGTCAGCTCTCAAATTTTCCATCCCCAGTTCCCGCTGTCTCACTCACCACTCTGCGTTAGCCGCCGCCTGATCGCCGCGCAGTGCCAGCGCGGCGCCGCCGAATGTCGTGGCCGCCATCAGTCGCAGCTGCGACAGGCCCAGGTTGGCCGAGTCGGCCGGCCGGTGCAGGCGCACCGTCACCTCGGTGGCCACTGTCGGCTGCGCCAGCTCGATACCAATGAAGGTGAGGCCGGCGGTCGGTACAGAGGTACAGACGGGCGCCGACGGTCCGCCGCTAGTTACCTCCACGGTCACCGCCGACGGACACGCTGCGGGAGGGAGAGGCATGGTCAGATTGGAAAGGTAGCGGGTCAAACAGGCTGAGAGAGCGGCGAGTAAGACGTTTAGGCTGTGGTGGACAGGGAAGCCGATAGGCACGGGTCACAAACATTTAAAGCAAGTGCGAGATCGTTTTCTAACCTGTAAAAGGACAAATGAGTCTGAAATGTATCATACAGGTGAAAGAAAACTGAGAGCTTGCACGAAGACATCCCAGTATGTAGATTCACTCCCTACGGTACTCCCTACCGTTTCTCCTCCGCCACTGCCCGCTTCATCCCACCTCGCCACCTGTCTGTCCGTCTACTCACTGGCCAGTGAGCTGCAGTGCGGCTGAAGATGCACCTGGTGCAGCAGCACGGCGCACGGCAGACGCACGTGCAGCTCCACTGTGCGCTCCAGCGGCGCGTAAAAGTGGTGCGACCAGGCCGGATTTCGGCTGCGCCGGTGCGGCGCCGTCGGCTGTACGAGCACCTCCGGCTGGAGCGCCATCGGACTGCTGCACGTGATCGTACCTGGAGACGGGAACGGGGGCAGTTAGATGAGGGCGAGCTGGAAAACGATTGTCACCATAGACCGGGAGGAACGGAGTCAACCCAGACACAGGCAGAGGCGGCGAAAGTACTTGTCTGATTAGCCAGTTTGGGTCACACATAGACAAAAGAGACAAACCGTTGCCGGAGAAGCTCACTAAAAGCGAGCACAGCCGTTCATCCGCCAGCAACCTATCGGCTCAACCAATCAACTGTGTCTGTGTTTGATCTTATTACCTCTTGCTCGACGCTACTTCCATCACCCGGTATCCGGTTTTCTGCTCACTCCCCACCTCACCCCCCCCCCCCACTGACTACCGAGTCCTCCCACCTTCCTCCCCTCCCGTCCCCGTTGACTCACTGAGCGGCGCCACATTGATCAGGCCGTCGGCGTCATTGAAGAGGTGCTGCGAGACGGGCGGCGGCGCGGCGCCGGGGCCCGCCGAGCGGCGCATCGTCAGGCCGCCCGACGAGGCCGGCCGCCGCTGCCGCTGGCTCAGGTAGCGCAGCATCAGTCCGGTGACACCGCCAGACGGCGGCTCGGCCACCGGGCGGCAGGAGAGCGCCGCGTTCTCAAACACCGCCTGAGGCAGAACGGGGCATTGTGGAGGTCATCACTAGGCGCTGACGGATTGCCGCAGCCCGTATGTGAACTAAGTCATGGACCACGACACCTGATCTTCAGGTCAGTGACCTACATGGGTCGTAAAACGTCTATGTTTGGTGCGTCAGGTACAGCAGATGGCCAAAAAAGTTTAGCAAAACTAGTAGCATACTGTTTTATTCAATACACATGCTACTAACTGCCTTGATTTTGTGTTGCATTGCTTGCGTCGAGACACATGATTTTGTAGAGCGTGTGTCCTGGCTCGGTGGACCCACCTCGAGGCCTCGGTGTCGAATCATGGACGCCACGCCGCTGGAGCTGGACAGAACCTTCAGGAAGAAGCCGAGCAGCAGCGGCGAGATGCGCAGCGGACTGCCACCGGAGCCTGGCCGAGTACACGATAATGGTAGGGGTCAGCATCATAGTGCAGAGGTCAGCATAGTGCAGATGTCGTACATCGTAAATAGACATCCGGATGATTGACTTAACTAACGGTGTTCTAAAATGATAGCAAACTTTTTCAGTTCAGATAGACGTTGAGTGTTTCACCGCAGCCATATCCAGCCTGGAGCATGTTCTACATGACATCCCAGTGCGCTAGCCGCTGTTCCCAAAAATTCCTCCCCGGTCGAACACCTCTTCCCTCAGCCCCAGCCCTACTCCACCCTCGCCGTACCGCTCACCCCCACCCACTCACGCGTGGCCAGGTAGGTGACTGTGGCACGGACCAGCAGCCGTCCGTCCGAACAGTGTGCCACCAGTGTACCCAGCAGGTCATCCAGAGCGTTCACCAGCGCGGCGCCCGTGGTCTCGCCCTTCGCGCCGCTGCTGGTGGCGCTCTGCGGGGAAGGGCAGATGTTATCGTACCATATTATCGCTACTATGTTACAATGGTGGGTCGCTGAAAAAAAAAGTTCGACCGAGCCTGTTTGTCAGTATGTGAGTGAGTTTGTCCAAGCTTTTTTGGACCTGGAGTCAAAATGGGTGTACCGATCGGGACCAAAGTGGTACCGTTCGACTCGTCTCCGGCGAGGTAAACTTTTGGTGCTGGCGTCGGTTCGCTCAGTGATTCGTGGCACACGCTATTCCGCTTCAAAGTTTCGGTGACACGAATTTTTTTGTCAAGGCTACAGGTCAACCCGAGGTCACGGACAAAGCCACACTGGCGGGACACATCGGTAACACCTTGAACCAGTTTCCAGGGGAGTCACCGTCTACGAGGGGTGCAGGCTGCACGTGCTGTGGGCGGAAAACCGTTTTGACGTGAGGTCCTCTGGCACAAAGAAATTTTGAGCTATCAGCCTCAAAATCGGTTCAATGGTAGTCCCAGGCAAGGCCTTCAAAATAGTGCACATTTGGTTGAAATAAACTATGTGGTGCATGAGCTATGCACGTGCAAGCCGATTGCACCCCTTCGTACGCTGCCACCCCTGCAGGGTAAACGGCAGCTCTAACTGGTTCAAAACTTGCAGGTCATAAGAAGAATACATTGAGTCATGACATTCCGGCGAGATATCAGATAATATCCGAGGGGTGCAAGCTGCGCGTGCGGGGGGCGGATAACGGTTTTGACGAGGGATCCTCTGATCCCAGGAAACGTCGAGCTAGCGACACAAAAGTCGGTACACTGATAGAGCTAGACACACGCTAAAGGGTGCCATGAAAATGACTGCACTGGGGTGCCTGGAACATGAACTATGCACGTGCAGTTAATTCATATCTTACTGTAGGTAGATATCCACACCAATCACGCGTGCTTTCAAGCATTTTTGGGATGTTTCGGTTGGTTTCAGGTTCAGTCCAAACTCAGTCTGGGTTTCGGTGGTTTTGCCCGGTGTGTGCCCTCAGTACCGTTCCTCCAATTCTGGCCCAAGGCAACGCAAGAGCGCTGCCGGCATCTAGTTTTAGAAAGGTAAGTAGCGCAAGAATACTTTATAACTGGATGGGTACTGGGTAGGCACCCCTGTCACTCACCGACGCCTCCTGCGTCTGTCCGGTGCCCTGGTCGCCGGTCCGCTGCTCCTGAGCTGAGGCCGGCGTGGCCGTCACCAGCGCCGCCGAGCCCAGCAGCTGCTCCACGATCGCGGCGTTCTCCAACACTGTCAGCGGGGCAGCAGAGACGAGTGGGGTTCAGAGGCGGGGTATGGAAGCGACGGTAAGAAGTCGGTGAGCGAGGCGACGCGACAATGAGCATACATTCAATGTTCTTAATATCAATTCTGCTCTCCATTAAAAATTTATCGGTCGGGCAGAAGGGGCTAGACCTTTCATAAGCTGCAAGTAGACAATCTGAAATAGGAAGTCGAAAACGCGTTCATGAGAAGCTACGATTATTTCTGAGGGCCAATGTCTGTATCCACCGGATATGAAACAATCTCAGGTATTTTTTTTTTCAACTGGGTTTAGTTCTAAAACCACCCCCAGGCCTAGCACAACTTAAATCTGTCCACATGGCGTTCCTCTCACCTCTATCGACGACCAGCTGAGCCCTGACGGCCTGCCGCGCGGCGGAGCCACCGGAGCCGGAGCTGCCGGAGCCGGCTCCGGCTCCTCCCGAGGAGGCCTTCAGTTCGTCCGTCTGAGGCGGCGACTGGGTCTCCGTCGTCTGCAGACAAAGGATATCGGCGATGTCAGTCACTGATACAGCGATCGCGACCGCTCAACAGTCAACATCCTTTGAGAAGTTTGCAGCCAGAAGGCAAGTAGCACATTAACAGCTACAGTAATGTTTTATCAACATAAATAGCCGTACACTAACATTTATAAAGCAGTGTTACGAAGTCACGTCAAGTCCCGTACAAACAACTTCAAGACTGACATCCCTACCACACCCGATCCACAGAAGAGATATCCGACAGCATACATTCACAGACAGACGGAGCAGACGGCAGACACAGGGCCCAACAGCCCGTCCCTCACCGTCGCGGCGTGCTGCGCCGTCGAGAGCGGCACCAGGACGAGCAGCGAGGCCAGCCTCAGCAGCTCGACCAGCAGCGTCTCGGCCAGCGACTCTGGCGGCGCGCAGTCGGGGCCGCGCGTGGTGCGAGCCTGGCCGGCGGCGGAGAGGTGACGGTGCACGCAGCCCACTGAGGAGGGAGGCGGGGGAGGGAGGGTTAGAGTGGCAGGAGTATTGGAGATGTATTACTCCAATTGCCGGTAGGTCTGTTGAGTGTGAGTGCAGCAACGATAGGCGAGGGATGACTTAGCGTGTGCAAACTTATCAGCCAGCAATCGCAAAATTACAAGACATAAGCAATTACATAATTGATCATTGACACATTTATAAATAAACTATTGACACAGAAGCTGATATACGCACACCATCTCTATGAAGCTTGCCGAACGATGAATCGTATACCCCTCCTGCCCTGGTCCTCCAGCATCAGATCTTCCAACATATTTCACACCTACCTATGACCTGCACCAGGCCGACGATACTGCCGAGCTCCGAGCCCGGATACACCAGCTGCAACATCCTCTGCACGAGCTTGCAGTGAGCGTCCAGCGGAGTACCCGCCTCCGGGAAGCCGGGCGAGTGCGCCGCGATCCAGAGCAGCTCGAGCAGCATGAGTCGCGCGCTGTCCGAGGCCGAGAGGAGGGTGCGCAGCAGGGCGTCGAACCACTGACACACGGTGGCTCCGCACTGCCGGACGGGGGGGGAAGACACGTCACGTGGTGTGTTGGGGGGGGGGGACGGGGTGACACGGGGGGAGACGAGACGATACATGGTGAGGTAGCTCGAGTGTTATGAATCTTATGGGCGTGGAGTAGCTAGGGGGTGACATAACGCAGCTAGAAGCGATGGAGTACCTGGGGGACAAAGCCCTGACATTTTACTATGTAATAGCCAAAACCTAACAACAAGAACTAGTGCCAAGACCGTGTAGCCCAAGCGCGTGTGAAGCAGCACACTGTCTCCCCACACCAGCAGCTGTGGCGGGGCGCGGGCCTCTCACCTCCTGTTGGCCCTGGCGGCCGCTCACTGACTGGGTGAGGAACAGCACCAGCACGTGACCCAGGGGCGAGGCCGCCTGTACCAGCTCGTGACTCTGTGAGGAGCAAGGCGGGGGGTGGTCAGGCACGGCTATACGATAATTCGGACATGGAATCAGTATCGAGTACACCGCAAGAAACTTGGTATTATTTGAGCCAGAAATGAGGTATCGTAAGCATTGTGTTGGTAGAATGTAATTGCACGCATTCACTAAGCCCGAATCTTCCTTCACTCTTGAGAGGTCTGATCGCCGATCAAATTACCACAAGCATATGATTTCTCGCACCCAGCGTAGATACTCAAACAATTGAATATAGACGCAAGAAACCGCAGCCAATTCCGGACAGCTGGTATCCAACCATGTCAATCATCTGAGTGACCAGACTGCACACGCCTGATACTATGCTGTCCGCCTCCCCTACATGCCCTTCTCCCCCTCACTCACATCGAGTGCCAGCTCGGCGGCCCGGGCGGAGGGCGCCTCGGGACTGGCGCGGCCGGTGAGCGCCTGGAAGAGCAGCGACCAGCCGCGCAGTGTGAGCCGGCGCGCGCTGCGTACCGCCTGCAGCAGCAGCGGTGAACTCCGGTGGAAGCCGGCCGTGCCCGGGCAGTCCAGACTGAGCCACAGCGCCAGCAGCGATTCCACCCACTCCGGACATGCCTATAGGGGAGGGGAGGGAGGTTAGGGGTCGGTGAGATGGTCAGACACGACAGAGACAGAGAGAAACGGTCAGTAGAACGGCTAGTTATAGATGCTCATACAAAACGCAGAAAGCTTGCCGAGCAAATAAGTTAGATTGAATTAATCAATAAATATCGGTAAAAATCGAATTTAAAAACTCCGACATCATCAAGCCGACATGGGGTCATATGCTTGTCTGAAACACGGTCTTGCCACATCAAACGAACCCTCATTCCACCCTGATTCCCATCCTCTACTTCAAACCTTTTTCCTAAATCCAGCAGCTCACAGAGCTCCAGCACCGACCACCACCCCGCTCACCGTGTACTGAATGCTGGTCAGGATGGCCGCCACGGCGTCCGCCACCATCTCCTGGCCGTGAGCCGGCTCGTCAGTGGGCGCCGCGGCCGGCGGCTCGGGAGGCGGCGGAGCCACCGTCGGGGGTGAGTAGGTGCTCACCGCGCGCAGAACCTGACGGGGGGCGGTGGGAGGTCAGATGCCAGATGGGAAGGCAAAGGGGCAGCGGATAGTAGGGTGAGTCCTCTCAAATAGCGGATCAGATATGCCCAAAAATGCGTGCAACAATAATCTACTTTAAAATAATTCTACAACAGCGCATACAAAAGGCATTTACACTGCACATCATCACGAAAAATAATTGATGCAGGTTCAAAAATAAGTCGACTCCCGCTGAATGTTTTAAACAGGCACAGCATTGAATTTATTTACGTCATCGTTTCCACGACAGACAGCTGCCGGTACACAACATAAAGTCAGTAATCCTACCGTTTCCCACCGCGCCCCTTTCCTCTCCGCCTGGACGTACCGTGCTGGTGTGCAGGGCGGCCATCTTCCTCAGCCGCAGCTCGGGCCAGGCGGTGAGGCCCACCTCAAGGCGCGCGTCGGAGGCGGCGCTGGACCCGGCCAGCTCTCCTGCGGGCGGACCGGCCGGCGCGCCGCAGCCGCCGGCCGCCTGCAGCATGTCCAGACAGGAGGCGGAGCCGCCGCCGCCGGCCGAGGAACCCCCGCCGCCGCCGCCGCCCCCGCCGCCGCCAGAGTGAGACAGCCAGCTGGAGCCGAGCTTACCCAGACCGGGGCTGAGGGAAGGGGGATGTCAGACGGTGGCGGACAGAGACACGGAGTCAGATCAGGAGTAGAGCTGGATTGCACGCCTTGTCACTTCGCCAAACCTTGATGCCATTCAGTCAGGCGATGCGCAGCTAAACCTTAAAACCTGACATGAATAAGTAAAACGCGATGTGTTTTATGTGAACGCAAAGCGAATCCGTTTTCATGAGCTCAGATGATATTTATGGGCTCAGAGGGAGCCCAAACCCACAGCACACTAACTCACAGAATTGCAAGTGCAGGTCCATCAAACTTATGTAGGACTGGGGAGTGATGTGTTGGGGAGGAGCCCACTAGCTTACAATACGTTTGCCAAGAACCCTGTTAAACTCACACAGAGTTGGAGAGTGACCAGGATCCGCCAGGCGCGGGGATCAGACCCCACTTGACCGCATCGGACGGCAGCGGCGGCTTCTTGTCTCCCAGCGATGCCTCGAAGATGTCCACCACAAAGTCGTCCAGCATCAGCGGGTCGCCGTCATCGTCCGACTCGACCATCGGCGGCAGCAGGCATACGCCTGACGGGGGCGGGGGCGGGGGCATGAGCGGGTGCGGGAGCGGGGACGACTACAAGTCAACACTAACACTCACTGCCGACCTACTAGGCAATCACCAGTGCGAAGACCCTGGGAAATACTAAAGTAATCAGGGTTACGACCGAATCCAAAAGATTCTTAGTTATAACCAGGCAGTGCATGACCAATCAGCACAGTCGTAGTCTTCTCCATCCGGAGCCCTTGTCCACATAAAACCACAGCTCCCATTCCCCTTATAGCCTGCCACCACCTCCACCGCACACGTACCTTCCTGTGACGCGTCCGAGTACAGTTCTCCAGCAGTATCAGCCGTGGTGGCCGGTCCCGCCGCAGACGTGGACGGCACGGCCGGCAGAGACGAGCCGCTGGGACCGGAGCCGGACGTACCGGCCGCCGCGGCCGACAGCGCCGGGAACGGGAAGAAGGACGAGAACGGGGCGCTGCCGCCGTCCGCCGAGAACATGTGCACCTCCAGCTTGTCCGACTGGGCGGGGGGGGGGGGGGTCAGCAGGGTAGGCGCGAGAGCGACAGAGCACTGCTGGATACAACCAAATTCCTTCAATTACCTTGCCACGCTTCAACGTGCATGCATCATTTAAGCCATTTGGCATAAACGAATTTCGGGAATTTGATATACATTATACATCTGCCTTAAAACTAAAACCGCTTTCCGATAACCCCGATTGGAGCATCTGTACCCTAATTCTCCGATGTCTGTAATCGCCCGTGCCAAGCTCAAATGATGGGCGAAGATGATATCCGAAGTCTGAACGCCCAAAGCCACGACAATCTCATCACCATCTTGCTTAACTAACCGAGAGAGCCTGCCCAGCCGGCGGCGGACTCGACGAGTCCTCATCCTCGTCCTCCGGCGTCCCGGAGCCGTCCGAGGAGCCAGCCGAGCTGCCGCCGCCGCTGCCGCCGCCGCCCCCGCCCGCGGACGAGGCGGTGGTAGTACGCGGCGGTGAGGGCGGCGGCTCGGTCGGAGCGCCGCCACCACCGCCACCCCACTGCGCCGGGTGCGCCCGCTCCGCCTGCAGAATCTCCTGGAAAGGGGTAGGGCATACGGAGGGTTAATGTGATGGAAAGGTAGAGGAACAACTGCCAGCTAGAATCTCCTGGAAAGGGGCGAAAAGGGTTGGGGTGATGGTGGAGGAGGGGAATAACTTCCAGCTAGAAGACACAACAGTATAGCCATTGTATATCGATTTGAATACTAAGGCTCCCTAGCGGGACAGCCGAGCGGCTCCGCTGGCCTGTTTCGTACCGCGCTGAGTGTGAGATCGAGGTCGACCAGACAGGATGACCTTCTTGTTTTGCCACGTGTCGAAACCGAGTCTGGCAAGCGAAGGTTTGCCTATCGAACCGCCAGCGCGTTCAATGCCATGCCGCGCGACATTAGGGAGACCCGCATATCGGCGTTCAGAGGGACCGTCAAGAAATACTTGAGCACGGCGCGGCGGTGAACGCACATATATGTACGCACAGGAGCTTTTATTGTGATCTTAGCACTTCCACTTTTGTTTTACATGTTTTAAGTGTCTTTTACCCATATCGTGTCTTTTACCGGTTAAGTATCCTTTGCCCATATTGTCGACGCGAGCACATGAAAAACCAGTGATTGTCTGGATGAGCTTTAAATATATTCTGATTCTGATTCTGATTCCGGGTGAAGATGGAATTGGACAAAAAAGTGATGACTCACGTGACACAAAAACACTAAATTCGCTGCGATCTGTGTGTGAAACTTGAACAGCGATGCGAGCCATGATTCTATCCCCGTTGATAGGAAAAACCGTATGAAGGGCGCCCAACTGACCTGTATGAAGCACTGGACGGTGTGCGCCGTCCACGGGCCGGCCCAGCTGACGGGCTGAGTGGCCGTACCGCTGGCGGCTCGCAGCAGCAGCTCCAGCTGAGTAGCGGTGACCACCTCGCAGAGTCGGAGAGCCGGCCGGGCCGCCGCCGCCACCCACGACACCACCTAGTGGATGGACGGACCGTCAGTGAGGTGCGTGACGAAAGACGTGCACAGGGCACAGGACAGGCGCCGGTGGTGGTTAAAGGCTGCCAACACTACATTCACAACCACTCGAGTTTTACACCTTCGGCTTTAAATAGTGAAAAACGTCAACTCATGCCATTGACATTTGTCAAGAGGATATGCTTGGCTCGTTGTCTGGCAAGCCAACATCAAATTCCCTCCTCTCACTTAAACAACCATACCTCCTGGCCACACGTAACGACTTTTCAACCACGCATTCATTTTATCCCCTCAGCACCTTTCACTATCATCCATCAGCTGAGCATCCCTTTTATTATCCCCCTCTGTCGCCACTGCGGACCGTTCAACCCCACAGTCCACCACCCCGTACCTTGCAGCCGGTCATCATCATATCTGGCGATACGAACAGCTGCGGCTCCAGCAGTCGCTCCATCAGCAGCCGGACAACGCGCAGCGCCACGTCCCGGCTGACGGTGGGCGCCGGCTCGGCGGCCCCTCCGCCGGAGCCGGAGGCCGCCGAGGCGCCGCCCGAGCCGCCCCCGCTGCTGGAACACTCCTGGCGGGGGTCGGCACACGAGCCCGACTGGGGAGCGGGAGGAGGGTTAATTGGAGACCGAAGGGGATGCAAGAAGCTCACGACTCGCGTTTAATTGTAAACCAATTATCTAAGTGTTGATCTATTTTATTCTGGTCTGTATGGGGTCAAGTGCGGGTTGTGAGGTGGCGTACCTTGTGGTATTTGAATTGTTTCTTCTTCAGAAGGTCCGACTTTGGCGAGCTGGTGCTGTGCACCAGAAAACCGATCAGGTTGCTGTTGGCCAAACTCTGAAATGGAAAAACCAGGGCAGCGCCGATTATTAACAGAGCCAGATGATCCGAAGATTAGCGGTTAACGATCATCGTGATCAAAAGTTAATAAAAAGTACAGTGATATTACAGGCTCGGGTAAACATCTTTCTTTTGTAATGATGGTGGCATGACAATATCAAATAGATGTGATCGACATCGATAGATCGAGTAGAAACGAGTAGATAAGCCCTAATCGAAGTCACCGCGACACAAGTCACGCCAGTCACACCAAGTCCCTGGAAGAGTTCAGCGCACGCACCTTCCCCATGGTGAGTTTCTTCACGTTCAGTAGTTCGTCTATCTGCTTGTGGTTCTTGAGTCGGGTGAGCAGCCGGCGGCGGTAGCCCTTGTTGCCGCGTCCCGAGGCTGAGCTACTGCTGGACCGGAGCAGCGATCGCTCACCGGCCAGGAACCGCCAACGGCCTGAGGTTATACGGGCAGGGGTCAGTATAGGGCGGACAGGGACAAACAGGACGGTCAGGAACGCCACCGACCTGGAGTTACATGGGCAGGGGTCAGCACAGGACGGCCAGGAACCGCCACCGGCCTGGGGTTACATGGGCAGGGGTCAGCACAGGACGGACAGAAACCGCCACCGACCTGGGCTGCCGTACAAAGGAAGAAAGCCGTAAGCGCCACTTTTACCGAAAATGAGTTATTGGTATCATTGGAATCGTCATGTTATTCTGCATCTAACCATATACATTACACAGATATTAAATGATTTTATACCAAGTTATACAAGAATAAAATATTTCAAAATAACCTTATGTCACATAAAGCATTTTATAATACTGGCAAATAAACGTATCTTTGACAAAAAAACGTATGATCAACGAAAAATCGGCTAAAACTCGGAGTAACCATGGATAAAAGACGCAAGTGCTCAGTTACGTTTATTTGCCACCATACATTGTCAACATGGTACAACGGAAAATAAACTTACAGATGGATATACGTTTATTTGCCTTGGTAGAAACCGAAAAAATGCACTTACGTTTATCTTCCATTCTGGAAAGGATTGTCCGACAATTTCGGCCAGCCGTATGTGGGCGTATACGTTTATTTTCCTGGTCACCCTGCCGAATTTCTAATGGCAAAAAGACGTACGATGGACTTACGGTTTTTATCCATTGTCAGTATACCCGTCCCCAAGCAAAATGGCAAGCTCGATGGACATACGTTTATTTGTACTGACTCACAGTCTGCCCTGGCTGCACTGAGAGAGGGGCCTTCGGCCCAGAGGACGGCCAAGGGGGCGGAGATATGGAGCCGCCTGCTGGAAATCGCTGCACCGGACCGCCACGTGACGCTGCAGTGGGTCCCCTCCCATTGTGGGATCCCAGGCAACGAGGCGGTGGACGTGCTGGCGGGAGAGGCGGCGGCGCTGGAACAAGAAATCGCCTCCATCGACGTCAACACCATCTACAAGGCTGCGGTCCGTCTACTGTCTAGCCAGGGACCGGGCGCCAGGGACAGACCGTCATACCCGGACCCGACACGCAGAGCGGCGACCGGCTGGTACCGTGAGCTGATGGGTACGAGATACCTGCCCCCAATCTCCAACCTGGATCGGCGATCAGCCATCGATGTCCACCAGATCCGGACTGGCCACTGGAGTGGATCGACCCAGTTCCTGCACTCCATCGGCCGGAGCCCCTCAGCCGCCTGCGCCCAATGCCGGGACCTGCTATGCGAGGCCGCCCGGTGCCCGCTGTGCGGCGAAGAGGCGGACACCCCCCGGCACATCCTGCTCACGTGCCCGGGCCTGATGGGTGTTCGCCTCAGAATCCCGGCCGTAAGGAACATCTTACCAACACCCGACGAGGTCTGGCGCAGTGACGTGGTGGCGGCCCTGGTGGCCGCCTTCAGGGCCCTCCAGAGCCGATGAGGCTACGCCGCGGGGCCACCCGCAGCCGGAGGGAAAATCAACAACAATCAACAACAACAGGAGTGTATGCCTCCTGTCGGCACACGGTGCACCGGCCCGCCGCGCAATCGGTGTCGGGGCACTGGCAGCACTCCACGGTAGAGTTCCATACGATCCAGTGCAGGCTCTGGCGGGGCCCCGACCAGTAGCTCGCACAGAGCTGGTGAACGTCTTCGGCTAAAGAGCGGTCCTCCTCCGCCATCGGCGCGGCGGTGGCAATCGGTCCCGGGTACCAGCCGTCCGGCCAGGCGGCGACGGCGCGGTCGCATGCTATTCTGATAACCGCGCGGTGGGCGGTGCCGACATCCACCTGGACCGCTGCTTGGGGAGCGTCGCCGCCTCCTTGGCGACCTGGTCGGCGCGCTGATTCCCGTCGATGCTGCAGCGGGACGGCACCCACTGCAGGTGGATGTGATGGGGCGGGACGACCAGTGCTGCCAAACCCATCCATACGACGGTACCCAGCGGGGACTTTTGGGTCACCCCCCAACCCCCTCCCGGAGGGCCGCGAGTGCTGCCTGGGAGTCCGTACAAAAAAAAAACTGTTGGAAGATTCGCATGCTGCGTATGGTCTCGCTCGCATGTGGTCCAGGGCTGAGCGGAGCGCGGCCAGCTCCGTCCTGAAGCTGGAGAAGACATGGCCGGCCGGGGAGCTCAGCTGTTGTTGTTTGTCTCTCTGCGGCCCAAAGAGGGGTAGCCAATCGGCTCTGAAGGGAGACGAAGGCGGCCCCCCAAAGCCGCCACCACGTCGGCGCTACGCAGCTCCTCGGTCGTCGGGTGGTTTGTTCCCAGCACGCAAAACCGCAGGTCATGAGGGTGATGACTGATGCACCTCAGTAGCACGTGCGCCAGGGTGTCCGCCTCTTCAAGACAGATGCTGCATCTGGCCGCGGTGCATCTTTCATCTTCGCACCTGGCGCAGGCGGTAGTGGGACTTTTGACGATTTTGGGTAAACACTGTTGGGACCTGGTTCAGTGCCCGGCGCGGAGCTGGTGGACGTCGACGGGAGCGCGGCTCGTCAGTCGTCCGGCCAGTCCACGAACACTCCAGCTCCTCCGCAGTGGACTCCAGCGTCCGCCGAACCGTCCGTCCACACCCAGGTGGCTCGTTGGAGAAGAAAGATCAGAAGTCGCCGCGCCGCCCGGCGCAGACCATCGGCCGAGGCTCCCAGTCGCAGAATCTCGATGTCCAGGCCGAATGTAACGTGGGGACAGGCAGTCACCTCCCACGGCGGTGAGCGGGTTGGCTGCAGGGTGACTGAACGGTGGGACGATCCCAGCGGCCCGTCACGCATCGCACACGGCCTCGCACCAGTCCGTCACGAATTTCAGCCGGTGTCGCCCCTCCGCCTCCGCGGCTGACCTGAGCGGGTCATTTCGATTAGCACGTATGCCTTGGCGAGGAGCTTGGCCTCTAAAACAGCCCGGCGGGCGGCCACCGGCATCAGCCCGGTTTCCGTCATCACAACGTGAACCGGGGTGGACAGGGGGCAGCCGGTTATGGTACGGACCACCGCCTACCCTGCAACGATGCTTCGATACACAACGGGGTGGAGCAGTCAAGTACGCAGTCAGCCACTCCTAAGGACAGGCGAGGAGGTGGAACTCACACAATTAAGTGTGACTGTGACACGATAGCGTCCCGTCAGCATGTCGTATCCGCCGGCGGCACCGTATTACAGGTACAGGTCTCGCGGGTTTTAACGGTAGGTTTTGCAGTTTGCACCTAGAAAATTTAGTGTACTTCAGGCTATACATTCGTCGCCTATAAGTGTTGAAGATGCGATCGACTTGTTGGTTCACAAGCCGGCCATGATCGTGAAATAGCTTCATCGTAGTTCGATTAGTTTCTGAGATATAACCGGAAATGTAAAAGTGCAAACCTACCGCTTAATTTCGCGAGAGCCGTACCTTCGAGCACTAAAGAGAAGGCAATCTCCTCCGGATCTTTACCCGTATGCTGCACAAGAAAATCGACGAGCCATGCAAGAATCTGCTGGGGCTGATCTCCCGCCACAGACTTCTTGCTTGCTCTGCAGAACAGAGCCAAGACAACAGTGCGGTACATCCTGAGCTAGAAGGAAAGCGACGCTTCTGTTTTGACCAAGGCTGAGCGGTCGAGATTTTCGGTAACTCGACTCCGGCTCCCAAAATCGACTCCAACTCCGACTTCGTGAAGAACTGTAGACTCCGACCAACTCCTACTCAAACTCCGACCCCGACTCCGCATCCCTGCGTGTCGCTGTCCAGGCAATGAATTATGCAGAGTCGAAGTCGCGACTCCGACTCCGGCTTCCAAAGTTGCTCCGATCCCGACTCCAACTCCTGTCAGAATTGTTGACTTCGACTGACCCCGACTCTGACTCCGTTTTTACACTCATTTGCCGCATTATTTTACGCAGTTGCCCCGGATTCATGTGTAGGTACTTAATACGCTTTTCATTCATTCATTCTTTCCTTTTCATTCATTTCATTCATTTTCTGGTACGACATACGGCTATTTTATTGTCACTTTATCTCGAATTCGGCTGAAATGACAAAGGGCAGAAAGGCGTATCGTGCACTTACGCTTTTTGGCCGGTCATTGAGTAGGAAGACGGAGGTTAGTATCAAAAACAAAAAGACGTAAGTCACATCATACGTCTTTTTGCCACTTTTTCTCGGCCCATGGTGACCAAGGTAAATAAGCGTATCCGCCATCCGTGAGATTCAGGCTTGACATACGTTTATTTGACTTGACAGATGCACCTAAATGTTGACTTGTTGACTAAGGAAAAAAACATTTATTGAAATATAGCAAAAAGTATTCAATTTTGAGGGAAATAAAGCATATCAGTAGGTTGCTGATAAAGAAAGCATCATTTCTATACCTAATTTTACAATAAACATCCACTCTGTAAGAGTGTATTAAATGAAAACCGAAAAAGTGCTCTCCTGTAAAATTTGGTAAATGGCGCTTACGGTTTTCTTCCTTTGGACGGCAGTGGGGTTATGCGGGCCGTGGTCAGCACAGGACGGACAGGAACCGCCACCGACCTGGAGTTACATGGGCAGGGGTCAGCACGGGACAGACAGCCGAAGCAAGTAATCAAGAAGTAAGTCGGCACAGACAGCGATACAAGATACACATGTTTTATTCTTATACTTATTTGTCGATGATTTAAATACAATGATACGCAACCTTTTGGGTTCACGTTCAGGCAAGCTGTGTAATTGGAAATAGTTTATAATTTATATCATCCTTCGCCACTAAATTGGGTCACACTTTACCTCCCACCCCACCCCACGCCTCTGCCCCCGCCACTGACTGGAGTCTCGCTGGTCGAGTCCCTCGATGAGCGTCGACAGGTAGAGCAGCAGCCACTCCACCAGTTCCAGCTCGGGTACTGGTGCGGCCAGGTGTTCGCAAAGAGCACCCAGCAGCGCCTCCAGCAGACAGCGAGACTGGTGCCGAGAGCGGGACAGCGTCCGCTGGCCCAGGTACGTCAGCAGGATGAACAGCCTGCCGGGGAGGTCGGCAGAGGTCAGAAGAGTGGTCATTTCACTCGGAGAGGTAGGGAAAAGGTGAGATCGGCCCAGCTTTGCTCATTGGGATGGGAGGCATCAGGCAAGGTATATAGTAAAAACAGATATGGGAATTAGGTACACGTCAATATCATTAGTAGTTCAGCTCATTACAAATTATGAATCCCCTGAGAATGGATTTAGTACAAGACCCCAGGCGTTCCTGTATTTCCCACGCACATATCGGGCCGCCGTTGTCGATTCATGGTCTCACTCCTCTAACTCAACATCCTTCCTCGCCCACCGCACTCCCCTCCTCCCGAAGCAGCGTAGCAGCGTACTGACTATAACTCACCTCCGTTTACAGAAGAGCCGGTCCTCCGTGTGCGCGTACATCCTACAGAACGTATCGGCCACCAGGCCGCCCCACCAGGCCTGCTGTCCGGCCGCTGTCAGCAGCAGTGTGCCGGCCGCCAGCTGCACGCGCGGACCGCCGTGCACACAGAGCTCCTCAAACAGCCGCAGACACAGCGGCGGAGTGAGCGTGGCCAGCGGCGGCGCGGCACTCGGCGACGAGCGGCCCGTCACCGACAGCGCCAGCAGCGACTCGAGGAGGTGGTCGGCCAGACGGCGGAGCTGGGAGGTGCCGATGTGTCGCAGCTGGCCGGCGGCGGCGGCGGCCGACGGCAGACGGGGCCGGCAGTACTGACGCAGCCGGCGCAGCAGGGCCAGCACGACAGAGGCCTGCTGGTGCAGCGCCACGCACTCCTGAGGGGTTGAGGGCGGGGTCAGCGGGGAGCGGCGACACGGCTCGAGGTGCCCCGAGATGATTATGTATTATGGGTTGGGGATTGGGACATCCGGGATGCAGAAGTCACGGCGACCAGAACTTCTCAGTGATGAGACAGTTAAACGACTGTACAGATGTGAACACCACACGACATTACTCGTATTCAATTAAGGATACTGATGAATAACGCATGAATAACGCATGAATAACTCCAGGCTTATCGTTTTTTCACTTTTTATAATCGAAACAACATTCAAATCCTACATGCAGTTCACCCCACTGCCCATTCCGGAAGAATCGATAACCGCACAGCACGATATACCAGCAACCAATCGTCTTATCTCCCAGCACTCACCTAGCCTCACCTCACCACACACTCCACCCACCCACACATCCTCGTCCCTCCTCACCTGGTACGCCGCCGGCACCTTATCGAGCGCAGCGCAGGCCAGCGATCGTCCAGCGCCGTCCGCCAGCTCGTCGGCACTGGGCGCTACCTGAAGTAGCAGTCTGCGCAGCCGCTCGCAGGCCAGACTGTACTGACAGTGTACCTCCTGGTGCAGGGTGGTGAGCAGGCCCAGCTCCGTCTGAAAGGCGGGAGAAGGCGTTAGACTCGGCGAGCGGCAGGTAAACAAATCGTGAACGCAGATATAACACTAACAGTTTTGATGAGGATGATAAAAAACTTCAGGAAAACAGACAGCCGGAAAAACATATACTGAAGTTCTTGGAGGAGTCTGATGAGCCCTTCAAAACATAATACCCTACCCCTCACTCCTGGTTCCATAGCTACCAACCAATCACAATCCACTACATGTCACCTTCTCTCAAACGCCCTCTTCTTTTTCCTAAGCCTATCAGCCACCCCACGCCTGTCTCTCCAGCCTACCTTCCTCAGCCGTCCGATCTCACCTGTGCCTGTTGCCGGGTGATGACGCGGACCTTGTTGGTGGGATCGGCCACTTGCCACGGCATCACCACCGTGTGTCCATAGAGCAGCGCCATCGGCATCCGGCAGCGTGTCGTCGTCATCCCGTACCGGGCGATGGTCGTCATCTGTGAGAGAGCACAGTCTCACTGCACGGCTTACAGAAATCTCACGGGAAGGTCTCCGCGTTGGGGACACAAAAAAAGTCTTAGGTGTGGCTTCCATGTGGACCAGGACGCATCGGAGCACGCTCTTAGCCAGCAGTGGTGGGTGAACACTGAACACAGAACACGATGAAAAAAGGTTGTGTTGAGTGAAGCGATAGGTAACCTCTGCTTTACCTCACTCGGCAACGTATTGCGCTGGTGTTCCATAAATGAGCAGAGTTAGTACCAAAACGACATACACTCCAAATTGCTGCATGGTCTTCCTAACATCGATTGTCTCAAACAACGGCCTACACGACACAGCGCTCGCACACTAATCCGACCACCGGGAGTGTTGAGACCCACCTTGAGGTATCGGCAGACGGGCGGCGGCTCCAGGCCGGTCATCACCAGCCGCCGGTAGCCGATGTCGGAGGCCACCACCAGCCGCTGACCGTCCGACTCCTCGCGCTCCGTCCACACGTCCACCGAGAGGGACAGCAGGTCCGGGCACGACGGGATGATGACGTCTGAGGGAGGGCGGCAGGGTCACACACTCGTATATAGAGGGGGACAGCAGGTCCGGGCACGACGGGATGATGACGTCTGAGGGAGGGCGGCATGTTAAGTCACATACACGTCAACTGGGACTCGGATAGAGACGCCAGAACAGATTCTAGCAGACACCAGCAGAACATATGGCAACATTGCAGAACTTCGTATCAGTCGAGACTGTCATTAAGCTTCCCCGGGCACACCCCAGCGCCCCCTCTCCCTGCGTCGGGCCGCGACTCACCAGTCAGCAATATGGGTGCGCCAAAGTCGATGACGACGAAGCGCCGCGCGCCGCTGTGCATGCGGTCGATGACCAGTGTGTGGTGGGCGGGCGGCGCGAGCAGATGGTGCCATGGCGACAGCAACACCGACAGCATCGGGTCCTGGTGGGAGGACCGAGCGTCAGAGGGCGGTAGCAGGGAGCCAACAGCAACACAGACAGAATCGGGTCCTGGGGGACATATAGGTAGGGCGTCGCATTGTCAGGGTAGTCAGTCTGGGATCGGCAGTGCGGGACTGATGAACCTCACAATGGCGCAGAAGATTGTTAACGTGACCAAGGTGCGAGGTAAAAACTAAAAAAAAAAAATGCACTGGTGGTGGACGGTTTCAAGACGTGTGTCTAAAGTTATGACAGATCTATTCGTACTTCTTATTTGGAGCTTGAAGTACATACTCAAAGCAACATAGCAAAATAATAAAAAAGAGGAAGACTTCAATTGTCTGAATCTAATGAAACATATCTCTAACGTCGTCACCGCTCACCGTGAGCTGCTGGCTGGGGTCGCCGGGCGCCGTTTGGGCCGTCTGCGCTGCCGGAGCCGGCGGCGGCGGCGGAGGCGACGGCGGCGGCTCGTCCGGTGCCGCCAGCGAGTCCTCCAGCTGCTCAGTCAGCCTCTTGGCGCCGGCTACCTCCTGACTGACGTGCTGAAGGATATCCAACAGGTGGCCGGTCTCCTGATCAGGTTTCTGAGTCATCAGCGCGCGCAGTTCAGCCGCCTTCTTCTCGACATCAGCGATGGCCTCCTCGAGTCGTGCCGTGCTTAGCACGTCCCTCTGGCCGGCCAGTTGCTGACTGGGGCCGAACAGACGCGCAGACACCGGCCCCGCCTGCCACTCGAGTCGGGTCGAATCAGATGTAGCGTGACACGTGTAGTGCAGCGGTTCCACCTCAATCAGACCCCGCAGCTGTTCGTCGCTGGCCAGAGCTGACCAGACTCCGGCGCGTGTGGTTGAAGGGGCGCCCAGTAGGTCACGCAGGTCCGGGTCACCGGTGGAGTGGTGTGTCGTCTCGGTGCCAGTTAGCGTCGAAGAGACTGTGCTCGAGGAGGAAGTGCCGCTCACATCAGACGCGAAGGGCGCCTCCAAGTCGAACAGTTCTTCCTCGAGTGGCGTGCCGTGAAGACCAAACAGAGTCCGTAGCACGTCATGGAGACGGTCTGCCCGTGCAGACAGCTGGCGAGTTACCTGAGCGAGCAGGGCCAGCAGCGCTGAGGCAGCCGCCAATGGGATCAGACCGCGTACGTGATTGAGAAGCACGAAGAACCAGTTGAGCGCGCCGGGAGATTGGAACCCGGGCGTGCGCGGGATAAACTCAATGAGCGCCTCGCACAGGGCGCTCACGAACCCGGGACCGCGACTTGCTTCGATACACATGACGATCAGCCGAGAGCACTTGTGCGCCACCGGCCGGGATCCGTACAGGTAGCAGGCGGTCAGTAGCGGCCGCAGTCGCTCCTGTACAGCCGTGACCAGCGGCGAGCCAGTCTCGGGAGTCGTGCTGTGCATCAGCTTCAGCGCTGCCACCCAGAGTAGCACGTCCAGAGACACGTTCTGACAGAACAGCGGGTCATCTAGCTCTGCGCGACGGCAGGCTGCCTCCAGCAGACTCTCGTGGTAGTCACTCTGCTCCAGCATCGCCGTCCTCTGCAGACGCTGGTGAGGTACCGTGGAGGACTTGACGCGACGCACGGTGACGCTGACTTCCTGGAAGCACTCACAGCCGGTGAGGTGGTCAGCTTTGACGCCAGCAGCGGCCAGCTTGTCCACAGTGAGCGGCACAGAGCTGAGCACTGCACTCTGCAGGTCGGGCAGGAACGAGGCGCCCGATGTTGACTCGCGGTCGGCCGGCGCGCAGGATAGGCGAATGCTGAAAGTGCGGTGGTGGGCGCGGAGTAGTTCAGTGGAGGTGAATGTCACGGTACCGCCCTGACCGGACATGTCCAGACACGAGCGCAGGTCTACCGGGCCACACAGCACCTCTCCGTCCCCGGCTGACGAGGGGTCCGCCTCCGCGCCCGCCCCTCCACCAGCACCGGACTCGGCACCAGCCGCGGCGGCCGTCGGTGGGCGGGGCAGCGCGCTACACCGCACCAGACTCGCCTCTACCGCCGGCATGGTGGCACAGAGCGGCTGCAGCACGAACCGAAAGTCCACGTGCGCCACGGGCACAGAGCGCGGCAGTGTGATCTCAAACACGTGCTGTTTCCAGGCTGGTCCGTCGTTCAGCAGGCGCCAGGTGCGCGTGTGGTGTTTGTCCGACTGGAGGTGCCGCGGGTGACGGCGCTGCTTCTGCGCCTGCTGGATCTCTGTCCAGCAGGGCGGAACCACAGCCGAAAACAGCGGCGTCAGTGTCTCCAGTCGGATCAGCTCGTGGGCGCGCTCCAGGGCGGCGGCTGTCAGCGGCGCCTGGGTGACCAGGTCGGCACCTGGCGGCGGCGGCTGCTCGGCACGCCGGGCCGCCAGAGGGCCGGCCGCGCCGCCCGGTACACCGTCGCCCAGCGCCGCCTCGTCACCGTCCCCACGGCCGAGCGGCAGGAACTTGAGCTCTCCGGCGTCCGTGCACGCGATCAGACACTCGAGGCTGTTGCAGAAGGTGGCGGCGAAGCAGCCGGAGCCGGCCGGCAGCAGGGTGGCCAGCGTCTGCAGCGAGGAGGCGCTCAGCAGCTGCAGCTCGCCGTTGCTGAGCAGCACGGCCAGCTGGCCGTCGGCGGCACCCCGCTCGGACGGGTCCTCCTCGGGGCTGGCACACAGCTCGCTGGGCAGCACGGTGACGGCCGTCGGGTGCGGCTCCCCGGCGACATACTCCCGCTGAGCCACCGGCCGTACCGACAGGGTCAGCACGCGGCCCTCGGGCTCCAGGTCGTAGAGTAGCAGGGCGCCGCCGCCGCCGGAGGCCGGTCGGACCGTGGAGCTGCTGACGACGTCCGGCTGGGACGCGGCCGGCGGCGGCGGCTCGGCTGCAGCCACCACCACCAGCTGCGCTCCATCGGCAGACGGCAGCAGCGCAGTCACCGACAGCAGGCCCTCGGCCATCTCCGCCGGCAGTGACACGCACTGCAGCAACACCGGCTTGGGGGCGCGCCGCGCCGGCTCGGCGGCTGTCGGCGGGGGCGGCGGCGGCGGCGGCGGCGGGGGAGGAGACTCGGGCGCCGCGTCGCCGTCTGCCGACCACGTCTCCTCCTTGTTCATCAGGAACTTCATGACCGTGTCGGAGACCTCTGGGTCCTTGCCCGCGGCGCTGACAGTCAGGCTGGCCGGCTCGTCGGGCGCGGCCGGCGCGGTGGTCGGTTCGGAGCTCGGCGGAGGCACGCTCATCTTCTTGGTGTGCCCGCTGCCCGAGTGGGTGAAGAGCGCCGGGTCGGCCGGTCGGCAACTGCCCGACGGTACCGCCTGCGGGGTGAGACGCTAGGTCAGTGCCGTATGCAACACTCGCCCACAGACTTAACCGAGACAACGTGTATTGAGTAGCGAGTAGCCTTAAAAGGCTGCTTTGACAACACCACACAAGCAAAGGAACATAAACGGTATTTTCATCAGAAATCGATCTCGATAGATTCATACAGCATCACATATACACCTCAGACCACCCAGTAAAATCGCAAAGGACGTAATATGCGATCGTTCCAACACCAGAGCCAGTCCAATGCCCCTATCAGCTAGCAGTGACTCGCATACCCCCGAGTTCCAGCCGCCGCCCCAATACAGCACAAAGTGCCGTTTACGACCGGCGCGGCGCCAACCAGCTGACCCCGTTATCGATCACATCCAAAGTCGTTCCGCGAACCAGTCCAGTCACATCTACCAACTCAGCACTCACGAAAGGCCGCGCCGCGTACCCATCAACAGCCTGCCTAATAACAACCGACAAATCTATAGTTCATAACGTGCAACCCTTTCGATCAGGACCGTTCAGCACTCGTCCTCGCCCCAGCTGTAGCAAAATGACTGGCAAGGTTATCGGCACCACCAGCCCTTTCCGTTTACAGACACCTAAGCGAAGTCGCCGTCTCCGACATACCTGTTGTTTGATGTCGTAGACTAGCAACACGGGCCAGTGTTCAGAAGTGCCACCGCTCGCACCGTCCGAGGTCGCATTATCCAAACCGTCGGGCGGTGATGAGGTGCCGCTCTATGGAAATGAGAACAAATGAAGCTATATGAGCAAATATTGAAGCTATACAGAACAAAACTTTTTAAACTAACAGTCAACGGAGATGTAAGTGAAATAGCGACTATACGAATCAACAAAGAAAGAAACTTTTACCGCGCTATGAACGACAATTCAATATAAGACGTTATTTTCTATATTTTTACCATGGAAAGATAGCAACTCCTTCCCAGAAAACTGACCAACATGCATCCTAGTCACCAATCGCTATCCGCCCACCTTTTCCGCTGGTCGCTGCGGTCGCGGCCGGAGCGGCCGGCGCAGGCTGACCCCCGCCACCAGACAGGGCCGCAGAGGCTCACCCACGGGCAGGGCGGGGGGCGGCGCCAGCAGACACAGCGCTCCGAGCTCCACCGGCGGCGCGGCAGGCGTCTCAGCCTCCACCGCGGCCGGGTCGGCACCGTCACCGTCCGTCCCGTTAGCAGCCGTCACACCGGCCGTCACAGCCGCCGTCACAGGCGTCACGTCACCCGTCCCAGACATAGCGTCACTGTGCCGCACAATCGTCTCATCAGACGGATCGACCCGAAAGGTGACCTCCCGCTGGAGGGTGGCGGCGGCGCTCCACACGGCAATGTGTCCGCGCCGGGTGCCCGTGGCAGCCAGATGGCCGCAGGAGGAGGCGGCCAGCACACAGATGGGGTCGGACGGCTCGGAGCCCTGCCACTGAGCCGGCTCGGTGCTCTCCGTGACGCTCAGAGCCACGTTCTCCGTGTGCTCGCCCTGGGAACACGAGCGAGAGAGGTGCGGACGTGAGGGGGACATACGAGTATGCGTACCGCCTGATAGCGACATGTCTGACCTGATGACCAAGCACAAGTATGAAATTCCAGCCTGCATCCTATAACAGAGCCCATTTCATATTGGTTCTAAAAATGGCAATACAAGGAATGGCATTAACAACATTAATTACATTGCCACTATATAGCAATACAATGATAGGACCTGCAAGCGTTTATCAGCATCTCTATGACGATCAAATTAGATGGGAAAAGTCCAACATAACTTGAACATAATTAGATCGGCTCCCGTCGTTACCGTTACGAACTGCATAAAACGGGCGTCCCCGATTACTACCTTATCTTGAATTATCATGAGACCAGCGTTCATCCCTACCTTGACGAACGGACAGGAGGGCGAGTGCCGCTCGTGCTCGGACCACGGCTCGTCGGTCGGCTCCCAGCAGACCAGACAAGCCGTGCAGGTGAAACACATGGCCATGTCGTCTCCGGACTGGTTCGGGTGGTGGTAGAAGCCCGCCTGGGCCATCTGCTCCGGCAGCGCCCACCTGACGGAGCACGAAGGACGGCGGAGCGGTTATACGGGGTATGTGGGCCGGGGAGAGCGCATAAAGCAGCCCACACATCACAGGTTTAAGGGGATGTGGTGGACACTGAGGCAGGCTGCCGCTCCAGGCTCTAGAAAGTTAGGAACTAGAAAAAAAAAATCCTGCACTATCGCAGATCACAGTACGATTCTTTCGAGCAGACTCCATCTAACAAAATATCGGAGTTTCATGTGAGTTTAACTATGCATGAACTAGCACGCCACATCTGCTCGTCCGGCCACCACACAAAGTTCGGCCGGGTACCCCGACTGACTTGTAGTGCATGTGCGGCCAGCGGCTGAAGGTCTGCCGTCGCGCTGCCTCGCTGAACATGCGGCGTCGCTCCGGAACCCCGGAGCCGGAGCCGGGCCCGGAGCCGGACAGCGTCAGGTGGAGACGCTCCACGGCGGCGGCCGCGTGTGAGAGAGCAGGAACGTGGCGGTCCGTCCGAGACAGTTCGCTGAGCAGAGCCGAGAACGCCGCGCGGAGACAGCCCAGCGGGAGTTCCAGGCACACGGTGCTCCACTGGGAACACAGGAACACATACGGTAACACAGGAGACAGCCCGGCGGGAGTTTCAGGCACACGGTGCTCCACTGTGGAACAGGAACACATAGGATGACAAAGGAGACAGCTGGGCGGGAGCTCCAGGCACACGGTGCTCCACTGTGGAACAGGGAACACACACGGTAACACAGGCGGAGACAGCTGAGCGGGAGCTCCTGGCATATGGTGCTCCACAAGGAACACAGGCGGAGACAGCCCAAGCAAACTGTGCGTCATTGTGGAACACGGAAACACACACGACACGTCGAGCCCCATTCGAATCCTATCAATCGAGGTGCTCATCCGTACCGCCTCCAGCAAGGTCATATCCCACCATCTCATCCTCCCCTCCCCCCCCCCCCAGCTGCGACATTCTCTATGCACCTTGGCGGCCTTCAGGTTGTCGGCGATGCTGTCCATGTTCCTGGCGTCCACCTGACTCTGCAGCAGCTGCTGGACACGTTGTACCGAATCCACATCGTCCCCGAACGGAGGGGAGCTGGAGGTGAGCGCCGACAGCTCGACGGTGGTGAACGCGTGCAGCACAGACACCGCCTGACGACGGAGGGAGAGAGGTTAGCTCCTGAATAACGGCATTACTAATAACAGACATCCAACAGCTATGGACTAAAGAGCATACCGTTTAAAGTGGAATATATTTCCGTTAGTAGAGCTGCATGAAAGTAGAAGTATTTTTATGTGAATAGATGTGGATGGATTTATGTACCTATATACGATCAATACGACTATATATTCAAACTACGACTATATATATATATATTCAAACTATATACGATCAATCAGGTATTGAGTTCAATGTAATTTCTCCAAAACAAAAACTTGACATTCTGATTTACGGTGAGACTCTGGACGATGAGAGCGGCAGCGTAGTCGCACATCTCTTTCAAAAATTCATTTTAAAATCGAACCGATTTACAGCTCACTGAACAGTACGACATTGACCTAGGGGATCAGGCCGCGGTTGGTCGTGGCGCTCCGGGCTGACCGTGCGGTGGCTCGCGCACGCTGCTCTACTGCTCGGTGTCTGTCGTGGCGGCGACAGCCAACTCGTATGCTTTATGTTACGCCTGTCAATGTTTTTCTTTAGCTCATGCTTAGAATCTCATCTGGCTGGAGTTTTTTTTTTCGTTTGTTTGCATTTTCTTTCAGAGTGATGCTTAAACTCAAGCGCTCTGCGCTTTTGCATCCCTCTGCCTCATTCTTCCGGAATCTTTCTGTCTCTGCTAATAAACATTGTGTGTGTGTGTGTGTGTGTGTGACCTCGGTTGCATACGGTTGCGACATACTGTTCCAATACGGGCTCATATATCGGTTTAACCCAGTCTCATATATGACGGCCAAAGATGGTTGAACGCAAGGTTGAACGGTTCAGTTGCTGCCCACGGCCGCCCAGTCGCGCATAGAGCAGTGACAGGTCGATCGACCCGTCATAGCCCGGGTGACTAATACATGGTTAGTACACCAGTGACGGCTGACAAATGGTGCTATCACCCGCGGGACGTCCGGCGACCAAATCGGACGCCGGTGATATACGTCAAACGGCAGATACATAAATAAACTATATTTAGCTAATATCGATGCACTAGAAAGAATGAAGATGCTTAAATCAGCATTAAGCCTTCGAGCAGTTCGTCGACAATATTCTTAAATTTTAGTCGCCCTTTATTCATAAATGCATCGCGTTAATTCATGCAATACCAGTGTTATCGGTTTTCTTTTCATGTGTAAGTCAAATAGCCCTCAAGTTCCCGGCTAGTACCTACACTCACCAATGACTGAAAACGAAATCAAATACATGTAACGGCAATTCCGCTACCGTGTTACGGTGCCCCCTCCCCCTACGGCCTACAAAGGTCACCCCCCACGCTTCTACTGGCGCGACTGCGCAGTGAGCCGTATAATGTCACCACACGAGTCGACCGTTCATCGCTACACACAGGTGGGCCGGAGAGACAGCGGTGGTCAAACCGCCCCCGGCCATCACCTAAACCACCGTATTCGCTCAAACGAGCGAGCAAAGTCCGCGACCCACTGCAGAGCTATTTGGGACTGTGGATTCTGTGGTTGGGAAGTACGGAAAGACAAAAGTAAAATAAGTGGTCGTAGAGGATTTGTACCAAATGAATTACATCGTTAGGTTTAGGATGTTCATACGATACGATCGTAAAAACAGATGCGCTGAAAGGCACGACCTTGTCCATGATGAGTGGAAACCAAATCACATCAAACCCCGAGATAGTATTTGTAATAGCATGTCGTTACCCACGTTTATTTCCAACTGGCATGCTAACTTGCAAGAATATTTTCAATAAGCCAGTTACAAACTTTGGTCGATGGATGACCACACCTAAAAAAGGAGAGAAATGAGAATACAAGCATCTAGAGGTTCGGTATTTGAGATAAAAACTATGTTCGCCGTTCCGTCTCACTGAGGCATGTCATCTTTTCACATCTCCATCGGTCCCATCCTTTACCCCATTCCCGTCCCGTGTTCCAGCCTGTCTCCAGGCCCATCTCGTATTCCGTCTCTCCCCTCCCCGTGTTCGGCCCCATCCAAGTCACCTCTGAAAGCGGAATGTCGAGCCGAACGGTGCAGTCAGGCCGCGGCACGGGCGTCTGCAGGATCGAGTCCAGCAGCAGGATGCCGCTGTGGTCCTTCCTGACGCCCACCGCCTGGCCATCGCAGAGCAGCAGCTTGTCCACGCCCGACAGGTAAACGCCGAACACCGACCGGCCTGCCGGGGAGCCGCGGGGCGTCACGGGGAGCGACACAGGGTGCTACGACAGGGGATACACACGACGTCACAAGGTCTCACGGGAGGACCCACAAGTGTCATGGGAGTACCCATAAGGTGTCACGTGAGGTTGCTTTACGTGACATAGGAGGGCCCACGCTACGTCGGCAGAGAACCTCACGGGAGCATCCACGTGACATCAAGGGAGTATCCGGAGCATCCACACGGCATCAAGAGAGAGTTCCGTAGACGTTAGCTGGTTCGTAAAGCGCTTCAACACGTCACGAGGCAAAACATCTGGCTATGGTGACTGGTAGAAAATCGGAAGGGGGAGAGGGGTGTTTTTGTTTGAACAGCCGACCAAGTGTTCGGTACTCGTGATATTGAGAGTCGAAGGTAGACAAAAGATCATGGTGAATCCAGACTAAAGTGTTGGTGGAAAAGACCGGGATCAGACCATAATAATGGCATTCAATACCCTAGCGTTTAAGGTTATGTAACCATTTAGCAAACATTTGTTCTGAACGCCACGGCCGGGTGCCGCACCCTACGAATAGCGGAATGTTGGTTATCACCGGGGTACCTGCACAGAGCTCCGGCTTCGCTACATTATTCCATATTATTTCAATCGCAATCCAATAAATAACGCATAAAGCATTCAGCAACCGAACATAGACAGGTCGAAACGAAAGGTCCGCTGGTTACGATGAATCAGACAGGGGTCTGAAGATCGATTATCCTGGGGTCGATAGATGGCCTTAGGGCACGGAGTGCCACCCAGTGGAGCGCCCCCCCCCCCCGGCTACCCCAGCGGTACCACTTCCCCCGGGTACCCAAGCGATAACCCAGTGCACGAGCCGACTGAGCGGACGGGGAGGGTTCGGTTACGATATACGATCCTACTCAATAATATGACAGACGTGGAAATGGCCGCGATCTCAACAAATGCCAGCATATCTTTTATTACATTTACCCCGTGTTCAAGTTTTATCAAGTAGGCTACCTAGGTCGCGACCAGTAACGTAACATGACATTTTTAGGCCACGCCATGACCTTGACCTCAGGCCCAATTTCAAACTTGAGCTTCTCAGATCAAATTATAGTTCATTCGACGAATATCAGCGAGAGAAACGTGTCGCTGATATACTCAATGTGATACAAGCTTTGTGTCAAAAGTTGTAACAGAAAAAAGCACCAGAAAATGTCATTGTTTATGTTATTGCCCCTGGAAGATAGATGATTGACTTCAGCTCAGGACGGTCAAACATTATACATTAGATGAAAAACGACCTCGCCGGCCAAAGGGATCGGTGGCAACCCACGCCTGACAGTTTTCTCGCGGCCCTGACATTAGTTTAATCCGCATCCTGCTGGGGGGTCCCCCGTGTTTTTACGCGAATATCTTTCTAAAAAAAAACGCGGCGCGAAGCGGCGCCATTTTTGGCACACTCATATATCTTCTCCGCACATGCTGTTAAAATTTCAGGCCAAGGTCACTCAAGGTCAGCCATCAGGTCACCAGCTTTACGTCAAGTGACCTCACCTCATAAAGTTCCAATGTCTGTCATAGCTACATCGAAATACCGATCGCTTTGAAACTTTCGGCGATTGATAAGAGCAATAGCATGTACCAAATGGATATTTCAGAATTTTTATATCTGTGACCTAAGGTCGGGTCAATTTTGCGATCCCCCTATCATAATTCAATGGGAGAAAATTGGAAGGCGCCTCTTTTGAACGAACGTCATTCTAAACACTCTCAAAAACTGAATTACATGTGGCTATGACACAATGAACAGGAAAATGGCACCCGTCACCCCGGTGTATGCCCCTGAGGTCATCTCAGGTCACGAATGGCATTGAACAGTTTTCACGAATAACTTCTCATAGAGGCATGCTAGAGCGATGAAAACGCCTTAGCTGTGTTCAGCTCAACGATACAGATCGAGTGATAGGTATGCAATATGACCCTTTCCGTTCAGTCATGATCTTGACCCGAGGTCAAATTTTCAAGTTGACCTTACAAGGTCAAATTGTACAGGGTGTCCCAGAAGTCTTGAAGCTTTTTTATTTTTGTCGTTTGACCTTGCTATGCCACTGATTAAGGCAAATGACGCCTCAAACGAAAGAGAATGAACTGAAGTTTTGTATTTTCATGCCTAGAGCACCACTTAAGTCAGGTGGCCCCCGTTGTGAGTCGCACAAGATTGAGCACGAGAGATCACGTTCTTCGCTGCCGCCAAGATCTCCCGGTTTGCGAAACACCGGTGTCGCCATGCCCGTTTCTGGTCAGCTTCAGAGCCTTATTTCATGAAGCGAGCCAGGAAGCAGAGTATTGGATCTCCGAGAAGACATTAGCAACATAATGATTTACTGATCAGAAAGTCTCCTGACGTGTTTGCACGCATCCATTACGAAAATAAGGCTCAGCTGCTTGAGCGCCCTAAGCAACATCCCGTTGTAACTTGTAATCCTTTGATTCGTCGCATTATTATGGTGCTAAAACAAATATCAACACGTCGCAAATATATGTCGCTAATATTATGTCGCTCGCTTCAGGGAATAAGACTCTGAAGCTGACAAGAAACGGGCATGGCGACACCGGTGTTTCGCAAACCGGGAGATCTTGGCGGCAGCGAAAGACGTGATCTCTCGCGCTCGTTCTTGTGCGACTCACAACGGGGGCCACCTGACTAAAGTGGTGCTCTACGCGTGAAAATACAAAATTTCAGTTCATTTTCTTTCGTTTGAGGCATGATTCGCCTTAATCGGTGGCACAGCAAGGTCACACGACAAAAATAAAAAAGCTTCAAGACTTCTGGGACACCCTGTAGTTGATTCGAAGCGTCTTGACGAGAGAAACAGGATGCCGGTAAAAGTAAGCTCGTGCAAGGTCTGATTAAAAAGTTATTGCAGAAAAACTGTTTCCACAAAAAAAATCGTCTATTTTTGTCCTTTGCAGGCAAAACCGTTGACCTTAGGTCAAATTTGAGATGCACTCATGAAGAGCGCGAATAGGGCTATCAAATGCGCTAATCCTGGGCGCTGTAGCCTGTAACTCTATTGGTTTCCGAGTTATGCGTCGGCTTCTTGAAAACTATTATTCGACCTGAAAATCGGTCAACTTTGGCCTTCAATGACCTCCGGTGACATAACCTTTGACCTGACCAAAAAGTATCAAAGTAAGTTGGTCCTTAATTTCTTACGTTTTTTTTCGAACACCGCCTTCCCCGTATCGCCTCGTCGCCCAGGAGCCGAGTTGACAAGGGGGTGTTCAAACACACCCCCCCCCCAGCAGGGCGTGGAAATCCAGGACCCCCAGCGGGTCGCAGATTAAAAATCGTTTTCCGTGAACACATCAATTTTAACAGATCTTGCCCTCTAAGCTAAACTATTGACCTTGACTGAGAACAGGTACTAGAAATAATATTAAAGAGCTAATAGAATGCGCTTTTCCGCGGCACTGTAACTCTTTAAGGTGAGCAGTAATCGTCACGCACTTTGTATGTGGATCGCTCTTAAATGTAAATACAATACAATATTTCCCGAGTCATGCATCAATTTGTCAAAAGTTGTCAGAATAGGCGAAATTTGAGCTTTGATGGCCTACCAATTACCATGTCCCCCAAAAGCCTCAGCTTTGACCTAACTCTAAAAAGTAGCCAGGCCAAGTAATTTCTTTATGATTTTGTACACTATTGAAAGCCCCCTTCCCCTCCCCCCCCCCCAAGAGGGCAAGGAAATCAAAAAGCCCCCATCAGATGCAGTTTACTCTAGGTTACTGGTTTACAAATAACACAGCCAGTTGGCCAAAAAGTGGAGATTTTGGACCTATTTTTAGCACTACCTTGGCAGTTGCTGACTTTACTGAATAACAATGGGAGTCAAACCCTGGGCACTCCCCCAGCCTCAAACTCACTGTCAGAGCCATCACCCGGACAGCTTATCCACTTGGTCATTTTGAGGACTGGGCGGCTGGGCCTTATGTTTGCTTGAGCTTTAAGGAAAAAAACTTGACAGGAAAAGTCTAAGACCTTGTAATGAGTGGGCCAATTGTAGTGAAATTTGGAATAATTATCATTGGGCTGCCAACTTGCAATAGAACTACATCAGACACAAATTTAATCCTGCTGCAGATGTAAGGCCAGTTTTGCAAACTAAGTAAGATGTATTTGCAGCCTGGTGGGCCTAGCTCAATGTGGTATGCAAGAAGACAAACCATCTCATAAATAGCCATGCCAATGACATATAATCATGGTCATATACAATTTGCAAAACATGAGAGTCTCAGAGCCAAATCATTTCAGCACTTTTGCTCTGAGCTATGATGTTGAACTATGGATATAAGTAGAGCAGCTGTGACACAAACATTTTCCAACCAAGAAGAGGCATGATACCCTGAGATGCTTTTTTCTAACCAAACCAAACCAAACCAAACCAAACCAAAACAAGCCAACCCTCACCCTGGCTGGCACAGCAGGGCCATACTATTAACTGGATTATTTGCCACTGGCACTGTGTGGTAGCACTAGCAGAGCTTGTTATATATCAGTACTGATACTGGATATAAAAGACTAAATATCTATTAATTTTTCTTTTAGTGCCAAATTGCGTGTTCATGTCCATCTGCTACCCTGTTTACATCTATATATTAATAACTATCGTATTTCACCAGCTGGCCAGCCAGCTGATTCAATCCAGTTGTTAGCAAGGCCTGTGCTGCATATCACTGTTAGTCTGTTGCCATGCTTTACAGTCAGCCCAAATTGAAACAGGAGATTGTGGATTCATAGCAAGCCAAGTGGTGTTCGTGGGAGCCGGGATCATCAAAGATACTGCCCCTGAGACTTACCTTTGGCTGGTGACTCAGCAACATGTAGCGTCTGGCCAGAATGCAGGTCCAAGACCTTGATGCTCGAGTCTTTGGTTATCAGTAATATGACATTCAGTGTTGGATGATAAATGAGGGTCTTGATTGCCTCATTGGTGGGGAAGGATCCCACCAGAGGAAGTTCAGGTGCACCATTACTTGTCATCTTAATTCATTTTGAAGGAATTTTGTTGAAAGCAGAGATTAGTGGACTAAACAAATCCAGAAACTCGTGATCACGAAGCCACAGATCCAGACAAAACACACATCGCTATCCGGTTTAGCCTGCCAGTTTGAAAAGGCCACATTCGCCAGGTTCAAGAGACAAGATGCAAGAATTATTTCCCCAATTCCACTTCTGGAAATCTGAAACCGAAACAAAAATTCCAATGCAGAAATTGCCTATCATGAACGTGTAACAACTCCAAAAGAAGGCAGGGCGCTGTAAACTGCGAAAGCGGCGCATTCTACTGCCATATCTGAAGGGATAAAGAGAACCCTTCAAGACGAGAAAAAAAAATTAAATAAGCGTCAAATGCCTCCAGTTTCCTGGAGCGAAACACAAACATTTGAATGCTCATGCGATTTTATATTTTTCGAAGATGTATGTTTTATATGCTTTTTAAAACATGAACTTCGTCCTCATCCATTTATCATTATAAAAAGACAAGCACGCTTTGAATTCCTTCATAATAACTTTATATTACAAAAAAATTTTCATGACGTCAGGATCGAAACTTTTGCTGCCAAATCATAACTATCATTTGTCAGCTGGATCGCGAGGAGGAGGGACGCGTGTCGACGCGTCTCTCGTAAGTTAGATAGCTTTATTTATGTGTAGTTGTTTGATAAAATGTTGCAATGACATTTCTATGGCAATGTGAAATTATTTAGAAAGAAAACAAAACTGACACAGGGCTATTAGTTGCCTACAGCCAGCAGATCAATGTTCTCGAAAATTAGTGGCTCAAGCTGAAATTAAAATAATGTGACATTTAGACCATTTTCCTCCCTAGAATTGTCGTATGGATGATACATTCGTTGAGCATTCTTTTCCTGCCATCTGGTTGCATGAATTTAATTATGTAGGAGTTATCTACTGATGTTGCTTGTGTTATGGGCTTGCCTCGGAACTGATAAATCAAGATGCATTATGATTATTGATTTTAATGAGATATGAATGTGTTGATTGATGGGAATTGAAAGTATTTATTTTTCACACAAAGGAAAGATCCTTTTTCAGCCTTTTTCATTTTGAAGCAACTTATTGATAAGTAGGTAGCATCCAAATTCATTTAAATTTGGTATTTTATATCTATTATGAAGATTTACTTAACCCCATTGTTTTGGATTTCATTTTTAGATTTGTGAAATGAGAAATGCATTTCTTTCAAGAAGAAAATCATATTCATCTGTTTTTCATCATGAATTTATATTGAAGATGTTATTTTTCCCAAATTCATTTATTCATTGAATCCTGCTATCAGTACCCTCTCTGATATACCAGTCAAGTTGAGTTGTGGGTGAAGCAGAGGGCAGGAGAACACTCTGCCCCATTTCCACCATCTGCCCACCTGGTCTACATTCAGCATTGCAGCCATGAGCCTCTCCTCGGACGCCCTGTACCGCCTGCAGCGGGCACGCTCCAGCTGGGCCAGCGCGACGGCCGGCTGGGCTGAGCAGCGCGCCGTCGGCTCGTCCGCAGTATCCCGAGTGTGCTCGACTCGCGGCGCCGCCCTGGAGCGCGCCCAGCGCCCGTGGGAGACGGAGGGAGCTCCCGATGACGACGGCTACCCCACGTCTCTAGCCGAGCCGTGCCGTCGGCTGGCCGCCGCCGCCGACGGGCTGCACGAGCAGCTGGGGCGGCTACAGGCCGCCACTGACACCCTGACCGCCCTCGGACGACTGGAGGAGGCGAGGGCCGGTCGGGGCGACTCCGCCGCCGGCGCCGCCCCCGCCGTCACCACCTGGGACGCGTCCCGCTGCGCGGCGGCCGCCTCCCGTCTTTTACCGCTCTACACCAAGGAAACGGAGGTGAAACGAACTGTCGCCTCGTGGCTGGCGCACGCCGACTCTGCGGCCGCCCTGACGGCGCTGCGGGCCGCCTGGATGCACGACGCGTACCTGACCGAGGAGACGCTCGCCCTGCAGCAGTGTCTCGGTGGCGAGGTGGCGCTGGACGCCGGAGGGGGCGTCACGCCACAGAGGGCGTCACCGGCGGCGACGGCGTCACCGGCGCTGCGCCAGCGGCGGCCCTGATGGCGGTAATAAGACGTGGAACGGACTGACTGTGGTGGCACTGTGAGGGCAAATGAGATGGTCTGGATGGCTGATGGACATTAGCGAACGTGAAATATGCGGGAAGTCAGATGGTGGGCCCTTGAGTTGTAACTGAGTCCATTCGAGATTTTTTTGCGAATAAGTGACACGCATTACGTTCATTTGTAATGAAACTCAGCGCAATAGCTGTTGTTTGTTTTCGTTGTTTTGCCTGTTTTTAAAAGACGCGACAGTTCTGCTTACAAGCGACCATCGAAAATTGTCGATTGAAATTCGTAGTAATCAGCATTGCTGTGACAGAGACTCGTACTATTGTCGTTGTCGATGCGAGTCACGGCGATGTTGCATTGCACACTTTTTGGGAGGGAGGCTTTAGTTCTGTTTTAGACTCCGGTGTCATTGTTTGTCGTTGTGGTGTGCATAATCCATATGTTCAGCAGATGGTATGCAGTGACTGAAAATAAAGCCGAACTTTTTATTTTTCACTTTTTGGGAGCGGAGAGGGTGGAAGTCGCATAACCCACTGTGGTTAACTTGGCTCTACATTTAGTGTTCACATTGCGTTGACCCCCGTCCCCCATCCTACCCCCGTAGGAGTGTCTTACCATGCGCGGTGTCGGTGCAGTGTGACCTGACCTTGACTTGACCTGGCCCCCGGCTGGCCACCACAGGGTCGTGGAGGCACTGCTCAAGCTGACTGGGGTCGCTACAGCCATCGAGAGTGGCATCCATCGTCTGAAGAGTTCTGACTTCCCCAAAATCCTCGACTCGGCGGAAGTCCCCGTCTGGGCTCGCTGATCAGTGCGATGCTGCTCCGGTCTGCCGCTCGACTGGCGGCGCCGTGCCGTCCTTTGACAGTCGCCAGTCCCGTCCCCCCACCGGCGCTGACCGACGCAGTGCTGACGCCGGAGCGTCGCGAAGCGTTCGTCTCACGTCTGTCAAAAGTGCGCCTGCCCGTGCGGACCACCGACGGTGAGCCGGGTGCGGCTGTGCTCGCTCCTCTGTGCCGCGTCGACGGTCGGCCGGGACTGCTCTACACACTCCGCTCCTCTGCGCTCAACAAACACGCTGGGGAGGTGGCCTTCCCAGGTGGTAACCGAGACCGGCAGGATGCCGACACTCTGGCGACCGCCCTCCGGGAGACCGAGGAGGAGATCGGTCTGCACGTGGAGCGGGACCAACTCTGGGGAGTGCTGCCCTCGCTGCTGTCTCGGTTCGGAGGGAAGCCGGTGGCCGCGTACGTAGCGGATGTGGGAGAGGTGCGAATGGAAGATCTACGCCCGCAGCCTGACGAGGTGGAGGATGTGTTCTTTCTGTCGTTAGAACACCTGTGTAAACCGCAGAATGCGGGACATACTCAGTGGCGGCGAAGGGATGCAGGATACTCGCTACCGGTGTTCCTGAACGGACCCCACCGCGTCTGGGGACTGACGGGCATATTTACTCACATCTTACTAGGGACGCTACTACCAGAGTGGTATAAACACAAAGTGCCCTACCTACGGCCTGTCAGGGAGCGAGACAGCGAGCGAGACAGTCGCTCAGGTAGTTATTAATGGTCATAGTCTATAAGACAGATGGTATGCGATGAAGGTTATGACTGTGATGAGAGGGGTGCTTTGGACCGGTTAGGAGTAAGGGAGTTTATTTATACTGGGACCTAGCTTGTTTATTGGCAGGTTAGCAGTACCATGCTCAAGGTGATTGTCAGCCAAGTTATACTTACTTAGAGTGACCTACGCTGCCCAAAGGGGCATATTTTGAAGATTCTTTCTGACCTACGACTTTTTAGGATACACGAGACTGGTCGTGGTAACATTGAAACTATATATCAGTGGTATACTGCGATTTTGTTTTATTTCAGCATCGAATAATTGAATTCGGCAGTGATAAGCGGGTGCATTTTACCCGTATCAGCGCCTTGCTTTGCAGTGCAACACGAATGAGTCAATCATAACGGCAAACGACGATTCATGCTGCTCTGTCGCAATGTGCATATGGTATGTACAAATTAACCCAATGCAAACGTCTGCTGTTAATATAATTGATGACGCATAGTCATTTTTGTATCAGGCACTTTGGTTAGCACAATAGGTACTCAATGCAAGAGGCAATACTTCGAAAAGCATCTTGCAACATTACGGTCTTCAGAGGACTGCTCGCCCAAGACAAGCACCACTTTCTTACAACATACTCCGGTTGCTAATATAATGGTGATCGAACTCGCTAAGTTATCAGAAGACGGGAGAATCGGAGATATCCGCCCCGTCCGCACACTCTTCAATCCGCCGTCCCGGGCAGATGCTGGTTCCAAAGCATTATAGACGCGTTTTCAGGCGGATATGACCCGACGGTGACCATTGGCAGTGGCTAGCTCAGACGAGCGAATCACTGCAACTCGACAGTTTTGGGCACCGGGTTCTAAAGCACTGCGAAGACCCCCACTCCGTTTCGAGCGGAGTGCGCGTTTGGTGAGCATCGGCGATAGAATTATATGAGCCCCGCCGACTGGGTTAGTTGTACAATCAACGCGCAGGAATGCAGCTAGCGCGGATCGAGACCGCCCCTGGGCTGTCGCATGGTCGCTAACACTTGGCGATCGCCTTCCGCGCTCGCTCGAATGTCTCGTCTGACTTCTGAAGTCATCTGGGTCTCCACATCATTTACTGTATGTTCACCTTTGAACCGAATAACCTTGGGGCATCCTTAGGGCTCGATGGGCTGCGTCCTGGGTCTCGGAATGGGCCTAGGACGCGGCCTCCGTCGGGATCCGAACCGGACCCGGAGTTTCCTGAGACGACGGCGGCGCGGCAGCCGGCGTCGGCCCGCAACCGTCACCGGTCCCGGAGCCAGCACCTTGTTCTGTGCACCAGACTGACCGCCCTTGAAGTACTCTGAAAGAGGGCAAGATCAACAGTCATAGGAAGGACAACTTATCGAAATATAGACTAGGCTATTATCAGATCATCGAGGCTGTGAGTGTTCATTCGTGAGAACCTCGTAGAGCTTGTTCAGGAGAGCTTGTTGAACTTTTTACGAAGCTCGATAGCTTCGTTCGTTGTTTGTAAAGCCCACCACTTGAAAGCGAGACACGAGCATGAAGAAAAATCGATTTAACCTCTTCTCCAGACCAGTTCATCGAGCTGCTTACCGGTATTCCTGAGGTGATCACCGCCTGGCTCCAGCTGGCCGTCCAGCGTACACGAGCGGCAGCAGAACCTGGCGTAGTACTGGTTGGAGCAGTAGCGTGCAGCCACGATTAGCGGACAGTTGGCGAAGAACGGGTTATCCGTGCAGCTCGGGTCGACGTATACACCTGAGAGCAGCGAAGAGGCTTCAGAAATTGGGGGAGGGAGAGAGAGAGAGAGAGAGAGAGAGAGAGGGGGGGGGGGAAAGAAGGAAAGTTTGATGAAGAGACAGACACATGGACGGACACTCACTGACAGACAGGGACTGATGAGGCTGCTCAGTGCTCAGTGCTGCAGGTGGCAAGTAATGTCAATAACAGACGTTTCCAAACCGCCAGTCACCATCACACCATATATTGCTGACCTCACAGCGCCTTCCGTCGATTCCACTTACCTTTGACCGCCACTGTGACGGTGCTCTCGGCAGTGCTGTACGCGTTGGAAGCCCTACAGCGGTAGGTACCGGCGTCAGACGGCTGCGCGCGATGCACAATCAGCTCAGAGCCTGTGGAAAATCAGGACGTCATTTGAGGATAAGACCAGGGCGAATGAGGGATTAGGGCTGGGTCACAAAACACACAAGCCTGATCGAGGAGGGTGCTGGCATATCGGTGCAGGCCTGGAACCACGGGTGTTACGGATGTTGTGACCAATATCCGCAGACTTTATAAGGCTATAAGACGCCGTTTATATTGAGATAAGTGAAAGAGGCGTTGAAGTGTTAGCAATAGATTAGCAGTACCTACGTGTGGCGGTTGAGAACTTTTACATGATTCAGCCATCTAGACCTCACCCTTGCAAATGCCCCTCGGTGGTATTGTGTAGTTAGTAGTGTGGTACTACTGACCCTTGATGATGCGTCTCTCGCTGGGCCGAATCGGCTCTCGGTCCTTATACCAGGTGACTGTGGGCTTCGGACGGCCAGAGGCGCGGCACGGGATCCGCAGCTCGCCGCCCACGGGCACCGTCGGATCCGGCAGGCGGATACTGACCCGTACGGATACTGCGGAGGAAACACGGGAGGAAACACGGAGGAAACACGGGTGCCAAAACTCAGTCTGACCCGTACCGAGTACGGATTATGCGGCGACAGAACGGGCCCGTGCCGATGCCTAATCGGAGCTCCTCGGCATCGGGAGCTCCTCGACATCCACAATATGTCAGTTATCTACGAGTCCTTTTCTGTTACATCTGTCCCGAAATATTGAGATGGTACAAGCGGGCGGCAATATCTATCATCCGAAAATGAGTCGGAGTGATAAAGTTATCTGGTAGAGACCTCACCTGATCCCGGCGGCCGGGCGTACTCGGGACTGTAGGGCGTCTGACCGGGCCGGCGGGCCGGAAACGGGCTCTCGGCCGACTCCGGCACCTTGTCCGCGCCCTCCCCACTCTGTCCCTCCGGCTCCCTCTCCGTCTGCGGGCCCTCCGTCGGAGCGACGTTGACGATGAACCTGAGGAACGGCCACAGCGCCGGCGGCGGCGCCTCGACGGGTCCGTAGGCGCGCAGCACGGCCGTCCAGCTGGCGGGCCGGCCGCGGCCGTTATACGCCTGGCACGTGTAGCCGCCCAGGTCACCGAGCCGCACCACGGCCACGCGCAGCCGTCCGTGCCGCTGCTGCAGGTACTGGCCAGAGGAGCGCGGCAGGAGGCGGCGCTCGCGCCACCAGGTGACCACCGGCGGCGGCCAGCCGTAGGCGTGACACCGGATCAGCGCCGGTCCGCCCAGGTCGGCCACTGGGAGCTCCTCCGCGGCCGGCCGCACCACCTGAGCCGGCGCCGGCTCCGGGTCTGGGGGAGGGGGAGGTCAGGTCACCGGTGCCGGACCTGCGCAGAGCGAGAGGTCGGATCAGGTCACAGGCGCCAGCTACAGGTCTGGGTAGAGGTCGGGTCGGGTCACTGACTGAGCGTACGTACCTACAACGTCTCCGGGTACAGAGAAAAGTCAGGTCGCTGGCGCTAGTTCCTGGTTTGAGGGGGAGGGTCAGGTTCGGTTAGGTCATAGATCTTCAACTCGAGCAGGGGCCGGCTTCGGGTCTGGGCGGTTGGCAGTGAGGGCTCAGGTGAGATCACTGAGCTGACTCTGAGTCTGGGTGATAGGAGACCATTATATACTACATTTATTTACCTGTGACGTTGAGTGTCATGGTGCGTCGGTCGGGTTCGGCGCGGTAGTTGTCGGCCGTACAGGTGTACTCGCCACTGTCCTCGGGTCGGACCCCGACTATCTGCAGCGAGTGGCCCTCCAGCCGGTACCGGTCGCCTTTGGTGTCCACCTGAGGTCGACAGGCAGGAACAGCAGGTAGGGAATGAAAACACATCTGAGCTATTGGTGAAACATTATTCGAAATTTATCATTATGACCATGCGGTTGGTCGGGTTGGGTCCATTTAATTCAGATAACATCCGAACGATCCCAACTCGAGCTGGGTCAGATCTGGCGCCATAGAGATGACCTACTCACTGCAAAAATAATTGGTCACTAAGTCACTACATGACGTCTGTTCTGCATACCTAGCATCGGCAGTGCCCTTGGCAAGTATGTGAATTGCGCCCACCTTCTCTGATCCGCGGCTCCAGGTGACGATGGGCTCTGGGTCTCCCTCAACAACACACCGGAGCACAGCCAGGGAGCCCTCCGCAGCGTCTACGGTAGAGGAGGCGTCCACGATACGGGCCCGAGGGTCTGGAAATGAAGAAATGAAGGTAGATGCAATGCGGTATAGTAAAGATTCAGGCGTTTGAAAGTGGCGTCATCTATGTATGAGAGTGAGAACTAAAGTTTTGCGGCACAGCATAGCTTCAGGCGTTTGAAACTAGCGCCATCTCTGTACAAGATTGAAAACTACGAGTAGTTAATGCCTTGCGGTACAGTATAGATTCAGGCGTCTAAAAGTAGCGCCATCTCTGAACAAGATTGGAAACTAGTGCCTTGCGGTACAGTATAACATCAGGCGTTTGAAACTAGCGCCATCTCCGTACAAGAATGAAAACTAATGCCCTGCGGTACAGTATAGCTTCAGGCGTTTGAGACTAGTGCTATCTCTGTACAAGATTGAGAACTAATGCCTTACGGTACAGTTATAGCTTCAGGCCTTCATCTGGAATTAAAGTTCGTCGGATACCGAAGCCATCATGAAATTCTCAGAAGCACACCGACCGCCGCACTAGATAAACTCGCTCGGTGAGCTATCTTTCCAAAATGTACATCGAGGTGAGGCTCCTTTATATCAGGTAACTCGTAAGTGTCAACTTTTATTTGATCTTTCTGATGCATTATGCAGCCACTAGCCATACAATCTACGTGCGAGTGAGATAGGATTCTGACCTGGCACTGCTGGTGTCGTCTCCTGTGTCTTATCCTCCTCACTGGGAGCCGAAGTGGTCGCGGGCGTCACAGCGGGGGAGGTCGGCTGCTCGGTAGGTGGCTGCAGTCAGAGGAACGCGATGTAAGCCTGCATCTCTGCATCCCTATACACATAACCATAGACTTTTCTAAATCTTCTCTAGAGAAGTCTGTGACATGAATTATCCATATGGATTGTATTTAAAATCACAACCGTTTACCGTCTGACCAAGCACCATTCATCCGACCACTCATTGTCTCTCAAACTTTATAGGTATAAATCATAATATAGATTTGGAAGCGTTTACAGAACCCACCGTGTCTGTGGACGGAGTTCGGGCTCTTGGGGCTCCCTCGGTGACTGTAGTCTCCTCCTGACCCTCGGGCGGCAAACAGCGCTCCGTGCAGCCGTCACTGCAACACTGAAAACACGTGCCGACAATGATTGGCGTGAGAACGGGCTCGGTTCAGGCATACCTAGTAACTGGATGGGGATGTAGGTAAGTAAGGTGAATAAATCTAAGTCAATCGATGCCAAAAAGGAAAGAGAGAGGAAGAGAGAAACAGAGAGAGAAAGAGAGAGAGAGAGAGAGAGAGAGAGAGAGAGAGAGAGAGAGAGAGAGAGAGAGAGAGGGAGATAGAACGTCGTTCAAAGAAGTTGAAGATAGACGAGCATCGGCCTTGCCTACCTTGAGGTTGTTGCGGCAGTCGGCGTCGTCCGAGCACCCCCGTAGCCGCGGCTCTGTGCACTCTGTGGCCTCCTCCGGCTCGGCACAACTGCCCGTCTTGTTCGCTAGGAAAACACGAATGGCAGCGAAGATTAGTGATATAAAGTTAGGCTGCACCGCAATACACAAAATAAGTGGCTACGTCGTACGCATAAAATAGCGTTTCATCACTCAATGATATGTACGTACGTCCACATCACCCTTTCCTGAAGTGTGCTACTCACTGGGTCTGCAGGCAGCCATTATGACCAGGCCGTCATCCTGGTCCCTGCTCTGGGTGATGACACACCGTTCCGCCGAGCCGCAGGTCACCAGGCTACAGGGCAGGTAGCACGAGCACCGCTCGCACAGGTTCTTGTCCAGCACCCGCTCCACTCCGAATGGACACTGTGGGTCACAGATAGATACAGGTGCATTTAGACGGATCAGCAGGTAGGCCTGTTCAAGGAGTTTGAAGCCCATGTGTCTGTCGTAAGGAAATAATTTGCTTAGTTCACCGACAGTGCACCCATTCCCGGCACGAAAACAGCTGGCAACTGCCGCCTCGGTTCTCACCGCCAGCTGGCTGCAGTGGGTCCTGGCCTCGGTGCAGTCGGCAGGGTCCATCTCAGCCGGTGGGGGAGCTGGTGACGTGGCCAAAGCCGTGTCCGGCTCGGCTGGAAACGGATACCACTAGTAAAGAAAGACGTCCTGTATGATACTACTGTTTGCTGCTTCGAGGCTGGTGAACAAGATAAGACTCCATAGATCCAGCCGAGAATATGCATAATTTATCTGCAGGTCTCATTAATACACTGCAAGCATCTGTCGCTGAGGCTCATCGCGCTTATCTAGCTAGCAATTGTTCAGCCTTCGTTTTTTGGTCCAACCACACGTCTGTGTCTTGTGTGTGAATGCCTGAGGACTCACCGGGCCTCTCGGTGGCGGTACTGTCCGGTACCGGCAGCTCCGAGCCTCCCACACAGATGGCGCGGCACTCCTCCTGGCTGCTAAAGCTGCACACGAGAATAGATGCAGACGATACGGTCAGTCGATACAATACCGATACGGTATTGTAATTACATAGAATGGGCATACGGTTCTGGACGTTCGTTCTAATTTTTCTGAGCTCACCGAGACGGAATAATTTCGATAAGGACAATATGACGATATTGCAACTATAGCAAAGACTCGTCCGGTACAGCTGCTTCGGTCAAACTTCATAGAAGCTCAGTCACCCACCGGTTAGCGTTTCCTCTTATATTCCTCAGCAGCGCCGTTAGAAATGATATTGTCATAACCCACCGATTTTTGTGACATCGGCAGCCGGTGCATCAGTTTCACTAGCTTTTTCATAGAAATTGTGTCCGAATGGATGAGTGGATGGCTTATAGTTTTACCGTTACCCAGAGGTTTGGGTTTAGTTCGCAGCCGATGTATCCCTGCAGTGTTACAGTTCCACACCTACCCAGTACCCACCGATTGGCGTTTCCTCCGCATCCCGTGTAGCTGAACGGTACACAGGTGGCCGACGGACGGTGGTAGTGCCAGCGGATCTGACTGCTAGTGCACTCTCCTGCCGACGGCTGCAGCGAGCACGCGTCTGCCCGGCAACAGAGGAGGCGGGTGATTAAAATTACAGACAGCAGAGGACACTGCATGCGTCTACTCGGCAACAGAGAAGGTGGGTTACAGACAGCAGTGAACACTGAACGGGTGTGCCCGGCAACAGAGACGGGTGGGTAATAGGCAACAGCGGACAGTGTCTGATGCTTGATAGAGATAGATGTAAGCGAGTAATGGGCTACTGCCTAATGGTGAGCAGATGAGCAGTTAAAATCAATGAGTGACCTTAGATATCCACTCGTAGATATCCACGATTCAGTTATGCGAAAAGTTAAGTTACTAGAAAATCAGTCAATTCCATGGTAATGCTGTCTGTAGAATGTCTCTTGAGTCACCGGCGGTGACTCAAGAGACATTCTACCGCGACATTCTACCGCGAAGAGATATTCACCGCGACATGACAATGTGTATGATATTGCATCGAGCTTGGCCTGACATTGAGATTCCAAAGCGCAGTTTGTTATTGCCAGCATCATTGTCTGTATCTCGGCGATAATCGGTTTTATTGGATGACATCGGGTCCAGTGGAATGCGGGTCTAACTCAGCAGACGGCATTGGTCAGACTTCAGTGGCAGTTGTCTGGTGGCGCTACTGTCCACTTGAAGGGAGCATTATCAATTGAGTTTGATATAAACCTGTCACTTTAGTGACATGTGCCCACATCATCCTCTGCACAGTTGATGTCATACGTCCTCTATGTTCCCATCGCTTCTTTTGTTTTATCCTCTCACCCACCATTCTTTCTATCCTCTTCGCTTTTCGCCCTCTCTCTCTCTCTCTCTCTCTCTCTCTCTCTCTCTCTCTCTCTCTCTCTCTCTCTCTCTCTCTCTCTCTCTCTCTCTCTCTCTCTCTCTCTCTCTCTCTCTCTTCCGCGACTACCTCCTCTCCCCTTCTCACCATGTCCCTTGTAATCGCCGCAGCGGCGTCGGCACTGCTCCTCGCTGACAAACTTGTTATCATTTCCTCCACACCCTCCGTATGTGAACTGCCGACACCGGCCCTCCGAGGCACGGTAGAACCAGGCCCGGGTCGGCTCTCGACATGGGCCCGGGTCGTGCAGCAGCTGACACACGGCGTCACTGGGGTCGCCGGGGTCATCTGGGAACACAGGGAAAGGCGCGGTTATTTCGAATTGTAGCATCTTGCAACGTAACCTTATGGGCAAGCTTGACTAGACTTTTATGGAAAATGAGGCATTGGAAATACAATATTATTGTCTGGCTTAACTTGTTCATTTAAATTACCAAATGGCAAAAGCAAAATGGCGCCCATTGTCCAGATGTAAAGTCTTTCGAAAGAAGGAATATTCAAAAGTTCAGAGAACGTATCAATCACCTTCTCCTTAAAAGGGAAGCTAAGATCGCGACGGGTCGGGTTACTTTCTCCACGCCTGATAAATCCGTTGAAATATCACTGTTGCGAACAATGCACACCGGTTGACCATGACGCCAGTCTAAAGAAAGATAGATTAGTCATTGGTTATCTGAGCCGAAATCCAATCCACCAACTAACACCTGATCTGTAAACCTGATTTGCCAAGTATTCTCAGCAGTGCTAATGCCCCCCCCCCTCCCCCTCTCATTGTCAAGCACCACCTTTTACAGTAAGGCGTTCTTGTGGTCTCCGTCATCGTAGCCTCTCCTTGACCTCTCCTTGACCTCTCATTGACCCATCCTTGAACAAAACCGATTGGTAAGTCCTATGACCTCTCTGTGACCTCTTCATGCACTCTTCGTGACCTGTCTTTGACTTGCACATAGCCTGTTTCAAGTCTATGAACCATTTGTATAACCTCCCCATGACCTCTGCATGACCCCTTAGTGAACCCTCACGACCTCACTGTGTCCCTCACCTGTGACCGGGGCGACGGTGGTCGGCGGTGACCCGGTGACCTCTGAGTCGGCCCCACAGCGCGCCTCGCACGCCGCCAGCGTGTTGAACCGGTTAGCGTTGCCCTGGCAACCGCTGTAGTCGAACTCGAGGCAGCGCCGGAGCCGGGAGTCGTAGTAGAACTGCACGAGGGAGCCAGAGCAGGGGCCAACCACCCGCGGCAGAGAGCACACGTCTGAGGGCAAGAAAGTCAGAACTCAGAAGAAATTCGTTCATTCAAAGAATTTGAACAGAATCAATAAGAATAAACACACGAGACGTCGGCAAGCATGCTTATGATGTTCAGGATGAAATATTGTAAAGAAGTAATGTAGCTTTGTGAAGAAGTCAAAGTAAGTCGCCGCCCTACTCTGACCCTGTGTGGCGCCGCACTGTCTCTCGCACTGCTGCTGGCTGGTGAAGAGGTTGCCGTTGCCGCCGCATCCGGAGTAGACCATCTGTGCACAGCGGCCCGTAGTAGTGTCGTAGTACCATCGCTCCTCAGTTCCGTTACAGGTACCGGCGTCGGCCTCAAGCTCACACCATTCTGAAACGTTCAACAAGGCGACCAAATAGTTTGATGGGTAAGAAGTTGGCCTTGTACAGAGGAGAGTGAATAACATAAAACATCGGCACGGATGTTCACGAGCTGCATTGGACTGAGAAACACTGTGACCGTTCGGACCAGAGACAGTCTGACCTTCTGAATAGCGATATTCGACCCTGCAGTCTGACACTCTGGCCTGTCTGAATAGTGACCATTCGGCCCAGAAGATCTACTGGGAATGTGACCACTCGTCCCAGTCTGACCTGTCTGGAAGGCGACGGCGTCCACTCGGTCGCTGCTCGCCTCGCAGCGTTGCTGACACTCGGCCAGACTGCCGAAGCGGTTCCGGTTGCCGCCGCAGCCGCCGTACTGGAAGGGCTGACACTGCCGCTCGGCGGTGCTGTACCAGAACTGGGTGGTGAAGTTGGTGCACGGGCCCACGTCCAGTTCGTCTGCACACGCCTCGGCCGCTGCAAGGAAAAAAGAAAACAGTAGAGGTGACGTAATCAGCAAATAAATGACTCAACCATAATGTATATTCATTGTGTTTTAAATCATATATTTTGTTAATCCTTTCAACAAGCAGGCCCAAATGCATTCTTGCTGCGCTCACTTACCGTACAGTTGCTCGGGACAGGCGGCCTGGCACTCGGACTCCGTGACAAAGTTGTTGACGTTGCCATCACAGCCAGTGTAGTAGAACGGAGAACACCGGCTGGAGCCGTAGTCGAAGTACCAGCGCGGCAGCAGGTCCTCGCAGGAGCCCTCCACACGCGGCAGAGAGCAGACACCTGTGATTGATATCGGACCGGGTGGATTAGCTCGTATTGTTACGTCGGCGGTACATCACTGCGATTTGTTTTTTATTCTGTTAAGCTTAAAAGGTTTTGAGGATATTGTTTTTCATTTTATTTTTGTACAAGCTGCGACAAAAAAGGTCATTTCGACAGTAAATCAGCACTTGTTGAAATGAGTGAAGCCTCTGACAGCAGCATATCATCAAATTTTGAAATGCCCTCCCTGACAATAGCGATCTCTTCTCTAAGAGACGCACCAGAATGTCTCGTCGATACATCGGTGACTTACCTTTGCCTCCCGGTCTGGTACAGCGGTGCAGACACTCCTGTTCAGTCATGAAGTTGTTCAGATTCGTCTGGCAGCCGCCATAGCTGAACTGAATGCAGGTAGCACTGGCTGCGTCGAATGCCCATCGTGGGAAGGAGCCACGGCAGGGTCCTGGCTTCACTTCCTGGCGACACGGGTCTGCAGGGACGCGGTCACAGGTCACTCGGGGTCTGCACAATTCACTGATGAGTGATGCGATGCGAGGCCCAGTACAGGATTCTCTTATAAATTTTACAGTGCTCACTTTTCAATTCCAGATTATATGAGTTTGCGGAAATAGCGGGGGTATTTATAGGCGACACGAGTTAAATTGATATTAGCGCAAATAAACCATTCTAGATGAAATTGCACACTTGTCCTCAATATTAATGGCCTATTGCATAAAACACATTGATTCAATGTAAAATTCTAGCATATCAACACTAGCAAAAAAAAAAACACTTTTGTTCATCACATTTGTTGTCAATACAAACCTCAGCGCGTCCACGCTCAAACCTACCGAGAATATCCGGTTCGACGCAGCGCTCCTGGCACTGCTGAAGGCTCTCGAATCTGTTGTTGTTTCCTAGACAGCCGCCGTAGGAGAGGGGCTCACAGCGTTCTGACTCGGTCCGGTACACCCACGAGGGGTAGTCACCCTCACACGGGCCACGAACGACTGGTAGCTCGCAGGCCTCTGTGGTAACAGATTCGGAATGTAAACTGAACATCGTATCGATAGGAGAGTTGAGGGAACGTCACTTTCGTATATTCGTATATGACGGAACGTTGCACTTATATTCACTTCACTAAAATAAAAAAGGTTATCCAATGACGATCATATGCAATGTTTTTGATAGTCGGCATCTCCCAGCACCAGCCGCTGTCACATCACTCACTCCTGCCCTGGGGCTGAACACAGGTCGCCTTGCAGTCCTCCTCTGTGTCGAAGCTGTTGATGTTGCCGTCGCAGCCGCCGTACCAGAAGCGGGAGCAGCCGCCGTACTCCATATCAAAGAACCAGTGCACGGTGAAGTTGCGACAAGGCCCTCGCTGCTTCGGCAGACTGCACATCTCTGGAGGGATTCCGTGAAAGGGCTGTGACAGAAATCGAGGCGGCAGAATGGAGTGGGAACTGTGACGAAGACATTGAAATTTCAATGAGGCGTGTGGTGAATTCGACCCAATCTCCGTCCGACTGAGGAAGCATGCAGTTTACTGAAATTTTGAGTGAAATGGTCTCCTCCGCCATGGGCAGCCACCGAATGGCACAGTCCTGCGGTACAGTCTATCTCACAGGCGTCGTGCCCTGCGGTACAGTCTATCTCACAAACAGTCGTGTCCTGCTGTACAGTCTATCTCACAGGCAGTCGTGTCCTGCGGTTACAGTCTATCTCACAGGCGCCGTGTCCTGCGGTACAGTCTATCTCTCAGGCAGTCGTGTCCTGCGGTACAGTCTATCTCAAAGGCGCCGTGTCCTGCGGTACAGTCTATCTCACAGGCGCCGTGTCCTGCGGTACAGTCTATCTCCCAGGCAGTCGTGTCGTGCGATACAGTCTACCTCGCAGGGAGTCGAGTAGTGCAGTACAGTCCATCTCCCAGGCGGCCGTGTCGTGCGTTACAGTCTATCTCCCAGTCACCGTGCCGTGCGGTGCAGTCTACATATTACTGACCTCCGAGTGGGACGGGGCGCTCCTCGCAGTCCTGGAAGTCGGGTCCGGCGGCGGCAATGACACCATCCGGACAGCAGCCGTGCTCGCTGGTCTCACAGCCGCACCCGGTCTGATTGGCTCCTGAGGCCCGCGTCCGGCCGTCGGCGCAGCAGCCGAACACGTAGTCGTTGCAGCTGCAGCCTACAGGCCAGTGGAAGTCAACGGTAGATTGTATGGCCTTACCGAGCGCATGATACGTGCAGATGATTTCCTAAAAGAGCGTAAGATACGACTGACACCCTTGTATGCAATAAACTATTAACCTATTCACTTATGGCCGGCGATCTGTGGCAACGAAACAAGCTTCACATTTATCGCTAGTGCATTGAATCTGGAATCTTATCTGCCTTTTTACGTAGAAAAGATCCCACAAGTTTGCCTTACCTTCCTGACTGGGTCCCTGTGCCGGTGTTACGCCGTCCTCACAGCAGCCGTAGGGGAACGTGTGGCAGCCGCAGCCAAAGCTGTCCGCTCCGGCTGCCGGCGTGTACTGGTCGGGGCAGCAGCCGTGTTCCGTGTACTGACAGCCGCAGCCCTCCAGCGCGGCCCCGCGGGCCAGCGTGACGTCATCGGGACAGCAGCCGTAGACAGAGTACTCGCAGCCGCAGCCTGTCACAGAGGGGAGACACACTGCTCAAAGCCGATCTTCAGCGGGAAGGGAACAGTACTTGCAGGCACACACCACATCCATCTTCGATGGAATTCATGAAGCTGGTCGGTCAAAGCTGGCCTGGTGAGCGACGGGAAAAATAAAGTGTTCGGCACTCCCAGCCACATCCTTCCCAATGCGTGAAGTTACTGGAATTGCTGTTCTATTTATTGAAGTCATAGTGAGTGAAAACATGCGTTTTAACACGCGCACCGACGGGGGTGGATATCCGCTCCCCTGAGGTTTTTCGCGGATAGCGGGAAAACCGCGGCGCGTAGCGCCGCGAAATTTGGTACGACTATTCTCTCATTAATTTTTCACATGGTGTGCAAGTTTGAACCTCCTAACTTTTAAGGTCAGGTCACCAGGACACTTTGAATGACCCAACCTCAAGTCACTTTTTTGCAACTTTGTCACCGTGCCAGAGCTACAGTAGATGTTGGAGGCCTTTGAAAGTCGCAGGATGTTATAAGATCATTAGTAGCTACAATTCGTTTATCTCGGAATTTTGATATCGGTGACCTAAGGTCAGGTCAATTTCGCGACCTCCCCATTATAAGTCAATGGGGGAAAAATCACCTCCCTGTTTTTACCACTAAAACGGGTCGGAATGGCCCCATATACCATACATGACTTCGTATACGATCAACCTTCACTACCTTGAGGTCTGTTTTGCTGTTGGGCAGCTGTAAGATCATGTGAAGTCATCAAAGGTCACCAGCGGTTTTTTGCCAATAACTCCGTACAGGAACAAGATACAGCCGCGCGGATGGTCTCATTGTGTTCAGCTCGTCAAGACGCATCGAATGATATACATGACGACCTCGAGGTCACGTGACCTGAGGTCAACCTTTGACCTTGACCTTTCGAGGTCAACATATATTTCATTCGATGCGCATTGACGAGAGGATCACGATGGTGCCCTTAGTTTGTTCCTATCTTGACTAGTTCGAAAGTTATTCGAGAAAAACTCTCCCCATATCTAGCACCGCCATTTTGACTTTTTTGACCCCTGTGACGTCATCATTGACCTGACCTGAAAATGACCTTTGTAAAAATCGTAGACCTTGTCCGTGCGTATCCGATGCCGTTTACCGCTTGTCGCTATCTTGCTTCGTTCTCGAGATCTCAGGGGGGCGGTCATCCGCCCCCCCCCGTCGGTACGAAGTTGGCGCAGACCCCCGTCGGTGCGCGGGTTAAATATCGCATCTGCATATTATAAATGAACAGAATAATGAAACTCAAAACGATAAAAGGTATGACTATAATAAGTGCATTTCTTTCGCGGAGCTGTAAACCATGCTCGAATTAAAAAAAAATGACATGCAGATCAAAGCACAGGACGCTTCGTGAAGGCGGATGTCGTGCAGATACACACCGTCCAGGTTGGGTCCAATGGCCGGGCTGACATTGTCCGGACAGCAGCCAAACTGGGCGTTGATGCAGCAGCCCTGCTGGTCGGGCCCGTGCGCCGGCAGGTCAGTGCCCTCACAGCAGCCGAAGGTAGAGGCGGCGCAGGCGGGTGGACACCCGAGCTCATCTGGACCCTCGGCGACCGACACACCGTCTGAGCAGCAGCCGTGTCTGGGGGCGGGAGGGAGGGAGGGAGAGAGAGAGAGAGAGAGAGAGAGAGAGAGAGGGAGGGAGGTAGAGAGAGAGGAGAGAAAAAGAGAGAGAGAGAGAGAGAGAGAGAGAGAGAGAGAGAGAGAGAGAGAGAGAGAGAGAGAGAGAGAGAGAGAGAGAGAGAGAGAGAGAGAGAGAGAGAGAGAGAGAGAGAGAGAGAGAGAGAGAGAGAGAGAGAGGAGCACTTAGCTAAAGCACATCAAATCTTCCGGAGGTTAAATGTCGCGATGAAGGCTGTCATCAAGCTGTCATACAGGAACGCATGTTCTGCGGTACAGTCTAGCTCCCAGGCAGTCGTGTATTGCGGTACAGTCTAGCTCTCAGGCGCCTTGTATTGCGGTACAGTCTATCAACCAGGCAGTCGTGTCATGCGGTGCAGCCTATATTACAGGCTGTCGTGTCTTGCGGTACAGTCTATCCCCCTGGCAGTCGAGTCCTGCGGTGCAGTTTAGCCCACAGGCAATCGTGTCGTGCGGTACAGTCTATCTCACAGGCTGTCGTGTTCTGCGGTACAGTCTCGCTTTCAGGCAGTCGTGTCGTGCGTTACAGGCTACACAGGCAGTCGACTTGTATCTCACACAGTCTTATATCTCACAGACAGTCTTGTCCGGGGCAGCCTATCTAGCGAGATGATGTGATCCCTGTGTATTTCACACCAGCAAGGATCGGGGCACAATATAGCATGCATTCTGATGTTATTGAGTATCAAAGCTAAACTCCAGTCACCAGTGGGATCTGAGAAACACTACAGACGAAGTTAAAGAATTTCCCTATCATCTGGACACAACAACGTCAGTTTTCCTTACTCGGTCTCAGTGCAGTTGACGGCGGTGACATTCTCCTGGCCGGCGTCCAGTGAGGGCGGCGGAGTGGGTCGCAGTCGCGGACAGCCCTCTTCCAGCGGTCCCTGGGCTTCAGTCTCACCGTCAGAACAACAGCCGAACCTGGGGGACGACGTCAATGAGCCATTCTGATGGTAGTATATATGTTTAGCATTTACATTGTGGTAAGTTTTAATAAACGTTTGACTAGCTAATTATAAGGTAAAATATGCTAATTAATTATCTCCCAGCCATTCCCTAGTTTAGCTGCCGACCTGGAGACGAGGCAGTTCGGCCCGGCCGGTGGGCAGTTGGTGCCCTCGCCGTCCTCCCTGGAGGTGAAGTTATCGGGACAGCAGCCGAACAGCGAGAGGCCGCAGCGCGGCGCCGGCTCGCAGTCAGAGAGGTCCTCGGTACCGGCCGGGGTGAATCGGTCTGGACAGCAGCCGAAACGCGTCCGCTGGCACGACTCCACCTGACGGCGGAGAGAATGACTTGGTGGCTCCGCTCAAGCTCTCTATCTATATAACTTAATGGCCATCGTAAATACCAAACTAAATATATACGTTTAGTATGCATACAGCTGAAAGATATGAACCATCCGTAACATATTGTCCTTAATTAAAAGAGCAAAAGGAACAAAAATTAAAGCATATATAGAATAAAATAAAAAAGCAAACCATAACCGACCTGCGGACAGTCCTGGAGGAACGGCCCGGCCGCGGCGGTCAGCCCGTCGGGACAGCAGCCAAATGTGCTGGGGCCGCAGAGCAGCCGCGCCGGGCGCTGACGACACTTCCTGCGACCGACCGCCGCCGGTCCGGCCCCCGAGCCGTCCGAGAGCCCAGTCTCCGGAAACAGGTCTGATGGAGGGGCAGCGTGTTGATTTAGGCGCTGGTCATGCATCATAGTTATAGGTTATGCATATTTCTAGCTACGTCTGGCTAGTTGCTTGTCCATTTTAGTGAACTACATATATTTATCCTTCTAAACTATACATAATATGGATAATGCTCGTGAATTAGACCACGTCTCTCTAGTGGTTCTGTTTTCCAGCCCTAGTTGTAAGTTGAGGGAGGTCATTCTCTGATTCGAAGTTTTTGCACTTACCCTCAAAGTCTGCACCTCCCGGATAATCGTCATACAGGCGCCCGGCGCCCAGTCCACCATTCAGGGCGTCCAGCCAGTCTGGCTGAGTGGGGTCCACAGTCCCGACTGGAGGTCGGGTCCCCGTGTCCGACGGTGCTGTTGTGTTTGTCGGAGATAGTTCATCGGGAACGGTGACATTCAGACCCGTCTCTCCCAGTGCCGAGTCTTGTGCTTCAGTGGTGGCATTTTCCGAGCTAACCCCTGAATCAGCATCGTACGAACTAGCATCCTCCAATGTATCATTTTCAGATGTTCCGATTCCGAGTCCGTCATCACTCAAAGTTGAAGTTCCCGGCCCAGCATCTTCTGACGGAGCGTTACTGTCTGTCTCGTTTCCAAAGTTCGAACTTTCCGTTATTGTGTTTTCTAAACGCGAATCGTCTGTGGAACTGACTCCGTCGGCTGAATTTTCAGTCTTGGCAGCTTTTGAGGTTGTGTTGCTCACATCAACGTCTCCAACTGTAGAACTTCCTTCTGGCTTACTCGTGGATTTCTCATCTACTAATGCAGGGTCTTCGGAACTGCTTACTATTGCACCGTTGTCTTCCAAGCTAGACCCTGCCAAACCTCCATCTCCCAGACTGCTGAAGTAATCGTCAGGAAGGTCATACTCTCCATAATCACCTGTTCCCAGACTATCAAGTGCGTCCAGAAGGTCGGTGGGGTCTGACATTCCTGTGAGATCGTCTCCAATACCCACTTGTCTCCGCCTTCTCCGTCTCCGCGTCGGCGCCTGGTCTCCTCGGTTTGGATCAGGCGGCTCTGTGGTGGGTTCCTCCGTCTCTGACAACATCTCTCCTTCGCCGGAGACATCTCCAGAGTTATCATCGTCTCCGCCTTCTGTAGACCCCTCTGCAGGAAGCTGGTCATCTCCTGAGGTCTCCTCTGTCTCCGTCTCAGCGCCGCTGGCGTCTCCGACCTCCTCGTCAGTGATGGAGTCGAAAGCGAGTGCTAGCAGGTCGTCGAAGGATGCCTGAGGTGGCCGGTATTCTGTGGGTTCTCCTTCTCCGCTGCCACTGCCTTCCCACACCGGTTCCTCCTGTGGAGAACAAATAATAATAGGTTCTTAGATTGTTGAGATGCTGATCATTGTACAATAGAGCACGAGTGCGACTAGTTATATGTTAATCATGTAATTTTACTCAAGCCCTTACATATCGGAGACTTGTATAATTAGTCATGATTTGCATCATGCAATAGTAAATTGTTCTGCATTTGAATAAGCAAACTGAAAGAAAGCGGATATAAGGCTAAAAAGATGTAACTTTTCTTTTTTACAGTGATTTTGCAGCAACTTTCCGACGTTTCGTTTACAATGTGTTTCTTACATAATCATAGTCCACCAAGCAGTCGTCTTCAGCAGAGCCAGGAATGTATGATTGCGTGGCCACCTCCAGTTGCTTGAGAAGCTCTGCCAAAACACACGTCAGCATGTCAAGCACAATGTCGATCTATCGAAAATTGACGAAAAATGCGTGCTACGGAGGTGCTATCTGAACGCTGAAAAGTGTAAACGCAATTTTCTATCGCAAATGATGTAGATTCTCAAAATGCTACGCACGGTTCGGTCAAACTAAGCTGATGTGTGGCCACTGACCTGCGTCGGCACAGGAGATGTCGTTGCAGTCCCGCAGAGTATACGGGATTGTCTTTCCGTCACACCGGTCCAGCGGCACCCGACCGGTGCCGTCCGAACAGAACACCTTTCTCGTCTGAGAGCCCTTCTCACACGAGGCCGAGCACTGAGGAGCAAACGAAGCTTTAAACCGGGCGTCAAGCCAGATGACTTATTATTGAGCAAATTTCATGCATAGTTATTGTTTATTTACTTTATGTACTTTTATGGAAAGAATTAAAGTGACTAAGAGTCATATTATAGAATATTTCTATCTATTCATGCTGTAACATAACGCTATCGTTATGGTCTTTTCACAGACCCGATTCATATCAAGGCGAAAACGGCTGCCGATCGGCACAGATCCCATGGTCCGCACTGCGACTCAGTGGCCGCCGACCGGCAAAGACCGCTGCACTTACCGGTCCAAAATAGTCACAGTCACTGACCGCCGATCGGAATTCACTGACTCTAAGTGACCGCTAATGAGCACTCACCGGTCCCCATGGTGACGAGTGCCAGGTGGCCGGGCACGGCGGCGGAGTGGCTTCCTCGCAGGCGCGAGTCGCCTCGTACCGCTTGGCTGGGTCACAGTTAGAGTCATCGACAGTAGTGACGCGTTTCTGCTCGTCCAGGGCGCCGCAGAAGACATCGCGGCTCTGCAGCCCGGGCCCGCAGTCGACCGAGCACTGGAGGGAACACGGGCCAGGGAGAAGCCATGGATGAAAGAACCATGATGAAAGATGAAAGGTTCTCCTTCATCCATGGAAAGCGATTGGAAATAAGGTGATGAATATCGAAAACTACCCAATGTAGCGCTGAATATGTTCTTGTTTCATAGATGAGCAGCCACTAAAACAGCGGAAGGTGTATTAAGTAAATGCGAACAAAAAGAGCTTGTCAATTTTAACCCAAAATAGCACTCCACAACTCGACATCGTCCTGGAGTGTTTCCTCATCACTTCTCACGGTTCACCTGCAATCTATGTAAGCTCGATCTGTACGCACCTCCGTCCACTCGGTGGCGTACCAGCGGAACGCGCAGCTGGGCGCCCCGCTGCAGCTCTGGTTGGACGCCGGACGTCGGGACGACTGGCAGAACGTGTCGTCAAACCGGTGTCCCTCGTCGTTGGCGCAGTGGACACCGCGAGTCTGAACAGTCAGGCCGCACACTCCCGAGCACTGCGAATTAAAGAAGCTCAAACTTCTGTCAGAAAAGTTTACTTATGATGGGAGTGTATAATGGAGACCAAATAAACGCAATTCTACAAGACCTAAGCTGAAATAAAACAAAATCTTATCAGTGGCTAACATAGAACGGCACGATAAGCCTTTCTACTAAGTATTCGGGCTCCGATGCCTCAGAGAGCATAAGTTTTATGACTTACAGACGGATTTATGTTTTCGAACTGGTTAACTTTATCCTTCTAAAGACATTGAGCACCCAAGCCCTTCTCCTCTCCTCCCCCAGCTGACGTACCCCGCTCCACTCCGTGGTGACCCAGTCGACTCCCTCGCAGGGGCGTCGGCTGCAGGGTTTGGTGGCATTGGGTGGCGGCTCCTCACACTCGCTGTCGGCCAGGAGCTCAGTGGTGAGACTGGTCTGACGGTGACACACCACCTGCCGAGTCCGCTGACCGTCCCCGCACAGAACGTCGCACTAGCGAGCGGGGGGGGGGGGGGGAGGAGGGGGACAGATGAGTCAGATGGAGCCTGATGTCAACTGGGTAAAGTGGTTGAATGGGGGCAGCGATGCTTATGGGGTTTGCTTGGGTTAACCAAGTCAAGCGTAGATTTTATTTATGCTGTTCATGGTGACCGGTAAATAAAGCAGTAATGGTCGCCACGATAACAAATAAAACGACTAAGTCTAGACTCGACGTCCCTCCTAATCCCTCCGGGCACTGCCGTACTCACCGGTGACCAATCGCCGACGTGGTAGGCCGCGCAGGGTCCGGCGGCGCAGGGGCGCACTTCCTCCGGCCTCTCCGCACCGGTCTCCTCACACAGCTCATCGGCCACAGAGGCGTTCACCTGAGCGGTGATCCTCTGCTGACAGGTCACCGGCCGAGTCTGGACGCCCTCCTGACCGCAGTCGGCCCAGCACTTGCTCCAGTTACCAACCCGCCAGCTGAGGAAGACAGAGAGAGAGAGAGAGAGAGAGAGAGAGAGAGAGAGAGAGAGAGAGAGAGAGAGAGAGAGAGAGAGAGAGAGAGAGAGAGAGAGAGAGAGAGAGAGAGAGAGAGAGAGAGAGAGAGAGAGAGAGAGAGAAGGAGAAAGAAAGGAAAGAAAGAAAAAGAGAAAAAGAGGAAAAGGACGATGGCAATGACGTTAGTGAAGAAAAGCATCACATAAATAATTGCAATATAACACACCCAGCTCTGACCGAGAGCGAGCGAAGGTCTTCTGCAAGAACGTTTGTTCTTTTTAAAACGGTACATATGCTAGAGCTATGACTTCCCTGGCTCGAAACAGCAATTAAAACCGTAAGTCTGAGAAACGTACCTTGCCGGACATGGCTGCTCGTTGCAGGCCTCTGACTGTTCAGGTTTCTCCTTTGGATCGCAGAGGTCGTCAGAGACCTCCTGGCCATCCTCGCCGACACAGGTCAGTTTCCTCTGGCGATCGCCTGACGAGGAAAGCAGTTATATTTATTATCTTGTCTGCGGTAATGGATACCTAAGTCATTACTATCAGACCACTACAATTATTTGACGGATGCGAACGACATGAATATGCAATAATAGCGAGCATTAAAAAGCTCCTCCGCTCAAATCTATCATCCCGAGCGCCAGCCATCTAGTGTTTACTGACATCCCAGTGAGTTTCGCTCCCTACCGGTGCCGCATTCTGCCGAACAGTCGGACCAGTCGCCGGGCTGCCATCGGTAGTCCTCCCTGCTCGGCTCAGATACCGTCTTGGGCATACCGTACCGGTACTGGATCCCGGGATTGGTGTCCTGGTACAGCAGCTGAGGGAAACAAGGAAACAAGGAAGCCAATAGTTGTGCAATAGTGGAGACATAAAAACACATTTTAGCGAAAAGTGTTGCCGCAAGAAGTCAGTCTTCGAACTACTTACGAGTTCTCGGAGAAAAGGAAGAAATTTGAAGAGCACTGTAAAAATCGCGCTTGTTTGCCGCCACCAAAGGCCCGACCACGTCTCACTTTCTGATTTTTGGGCGATTTAACCGCGCCTGATGAAGTGCTCTCTATCAACAATAGCTGTGATAGAGCAGTCTGATGACTCGATAGGCCAGTGTTTAAACCACACGTTCATGTGTTTAAGACGCTGGATGATTGATGTGTTTATGACTTAAAACTCTGTTACTCTGATGCTGATCCTCGATCAAAAAGCCGGTGTTCTTCTGGTATATCGGAAGCTTCACCACTAGACTATACTTTCATTCATGATATTGCTACTCTAACACACACAGCGTGAGCAAGGTTATTTACGCACGTTAGATACCTATATATAACAAGAATACATATACAATGATAGATGCGACCAATGTAATTTCAACATCTGGGAAAGTTTTATTTTTCTTGTAAGCAAGATAAAACATTTTTCACGGATGAATTGATCATCATGTAACGTTCAACACTAGACTCGGTAAATAGTCGCAGGGTTCGCGTTCACTCACCACCAGATACAGCGGCTCGGTGGTTGGTCCCAGGGCCCTCAGCTGCTCCGGCCCAAAGAAGCCGATCTTGTTCCTGCCGTAGTGGAAGGTGGTGCCGGCGAACTGCTGGCTAGACGGAGGCGACACACGCCAGTCGCCGTTCAGATAGTAGTGGCCGGAGATGTTCCGCATCGCTGCCAACATGTGGAGTCGGCGTACGTTATCCGTCAGCAGTCTGATCTCGTCCGGGAAATGTCATGCTGTTTCATCTTTTACTCATTCTTACATAAGAGACCAGCGAGACCAGCGTAAGGGATTGTCTCCCTATCTTGTTAAACGAATTATTTGTTGAAGTTTTCGTGATTGTTTTCTTTTGAAGTCACAAAACGTCGGTTTTCACGTACCTATCTATGTAAACAGTATTTCTATCGTCGCATCGCACTTACCTAGGTAGTTGTTCGACGTTCGGACCTCCTCGATGAGAATATTCGTTGCCCCGGCAGGGATGAGTAGGATGTCATTATATCCTGCAGCATAATAGATGTGTTATACATAAGGATATCCTTGTAATTACCGTCCAGAAATAGAAAGCTCACCGCCACTCACAGGCCAGATCGGAGCCATCAATCTAAAAAAAACTGGGACTCAGAAACAGGTCGTTTCAGATGCAGATCGAGCCTTGGGCTCTCAGTTCCAGTCTCGTCTCAACTAGTTGGAGTCGTAGTTACATTCCCTCACGGTGTGATGACCCACCTTGTTTTAGCTGGTTGGAGTCGTGCGTTCCCTCCACGGTGTTGCAGGTGCTGCCATCGCCACCACACACTCGGCATGTGTCCTCTCTCAGAAGAGAGCCCAGAACGCGGTCACACCCGGCCGGCTGGGGAGGAACAGAAGGGTCACACCGGTTCCTCAGAAGTGAGAGAAGGTGGGTCTGTAGACTCTGTACCACAACACATGACTAATAGGGAGATAGACTGTACCGCAAGACATGGCTGCCGGTGAGATAGACTGTACCGCAGGACACGACTGCCTGGGAGATAGACTGTGCCGGGGGACACAACGCCTGTAAGGTAAACTGTACCGCACGTCACGACTGCCTGGGAGACAGACTGCACCGCATTCGTCATTACATGACAGCCTGGGCGATAGACTGTACCGCAAGACACGGGCATCTAAATTACAAAGCATTATCATACCCTGCAGACTCCGTTGACGCAGATGTCGCGCTGATTCTCGCCACATCTGGTGCCGTCCGCCACCTTGGCTCGGTGCCGGAAATAGAACCGTTCCCCTTGCGGCTGACAGTTGAGCTCGCACGGATTCGCAGCCTTGGTGTACGGCACCCACCTGTCGCAACCGGTCAGCTGTCAGCCCTCATGTGTGACAGAAATCGAGTTAATTTGTTACCGGTACAGTCAAATATCTGTCGGTGTGGCTTTAATAACGCTATGGTGTAGATGGTGAGTTATGATAATCAGGCACCATACCTACGTTGGATAAGTCTTCGTGGACCTTTTGATGTTAGTGACAGGAATCAGCGGCAGTGTGACTTGTGGTTGAATTTAGACGGGATGGACTCTTACTGATATAATTATTATCGGGCATCAGTTTCAACCTTTCTGCATGAATTTCTTTAGTTAATGTTTCACCATCCGATGACATCACGCTATTTAATTTTGGACTTATATTGGCCCTTTGATACTTTACTTATAGTATTTTCCTTCGAAGAGCACATCGTCGAATTCTGAACACTGTTCTGCCCTGAAGTCCTTCGTTCCAGCTGGGCACGCCTGCAACCGGTGACACAAATTCATATGTTAAATACTCCTGTGTACAGTCCTACAGAATAGCAAACATAGCATTGATTAGCCGATACAGACCGTCAATCTCGGCTGTCTGCGGGCTGCCTCACCTGAACGTTACAGGACTGGTACTTGACATCGGGTCCGGAGCACTCGGATGATCCGTCCGGCCTGAAATCGAAGCGTAGGTCGGTCGATTTAACAAAAACAAAATAGGAAAATATCGCATCTCTTGATACCAAGAATCTAAAAAATGACAATAAGCCATATATGACCGGTTGAATCAATAACAAAAGGCATAGACTAATGTATTACGATATGAAGTAGTCTATGCGAAAGGCATTTAATCGGCAGATCATTATACATGTCAATAAGCGGAACATTTTCTTCTGTCACTTTCTAGTTAGGGGAAATTTGTACACTAAGACTCACTGTCATCTCCAATCCTGACCGCTCCTCCCAGTCGATGTCACTGACCTGAACCGCTGACACGTTCTGACCTGCCGGCTGACCCCGCCGCCACAGGAGCGCGAGCAGGGCCCATCGGGCTCCCAACTGCCCCAGGGGCCGGCGCCTCGCGACGCGTCTGCCTCGCCAAAGGCCACGGGCCGCTGACGGCGCGGTCTCCGCAGTCGGCGCAGGCCCCACCGCCGCTACAGTCGACACGAACATAGTTGGCCGATGTAACATAGCGAATGTGACAGAGACAGCTAGTGTACATGCGGAGTGATATTGACAGAATGGAGGAATCCAGTGTTGTTCTACAGCGGATCACCGAGTTCTTAGCTTTATAACAGAATTGTAATGTCTTGGACTTTATCTGCTTCCACCTGTTCAGTTGGTGCACTTTTCGATCTATGTGGCGTTATCAATCGCATCTAAATTCCAAGTGATCGTAATGTTTGTTATGCCTTCATCGATGTTATTGCGCTGTACAAAGTAGAAAATATTGTAATTCGGAAAGTATAATAAGCATAACTTACCGGTTTGAAAGCAAAAGAAGCACTTGTGCTCAGCTGAAGCTCCAGCACCAGGATGAGAAGCACGAGAAGAGACCTATCGGACGAAGCGTCAAACGAGCCGGTTACGGTTTGATATATTTTCATATAGATGTGGGACAATTACATTGGACGATATAGTTTGTAACCTGTATGAACTTATCAAGGGCATCGCTTACTGTGGATCTTTCGTGTTCATGCCTGATTTGACACAAATCGGAATTATTTTGTCTCTAGAGGGCAGCAGCGGTCAAAATAGACATTTTTTAGGAATGCTTTATCTATTAACTTGTAACACAATGATAATTGCTTGTTTACCCTTATGCAAACATCGATTTGCTGCTGCCTGCTACACATATACATTAAAAAAAATATACCAGAATATGTACCTACCATTGTTTCTTCGGTAGCCCATCGAGCCAGTTAATAAGCCAAAGCTCCCGATCTCCCAGACCACCCCATCCGTCTAGCCCCACTGTCTAGCCTAGCTGGGTCATGCACCCAATCTGCCCCATGCATGATCCACTGGTAGCCCAGCCGGAAAGGTGCCTGGCCGACTGCCGGACACTGGCGCAGCGGTGCTGGACACTTCCGGTCTGCGCCGCGTCACTTCCGCCAGAGCCTCGCAAGGATCGTCGTGATAGCGCTTACCATAGCTTTGGAGTGGACACTTGGCCATGGTGTTGAACATGTGCAATATGTAGCTTTTCTCCTCACCTTCCATTTGCAAACAGTTCTTTTGGTTTTATTTGCAATGTATGACATCAAATAAATCATTTCTATGAGGGCATGTGAAAATAATGATTACCTATTCGAAAACTCACGACCATTCATTCATCTATCCATCCATCTATCCAATCATTCCATCCATCTATCCATCCATTCATCCATCCATCCATCCATCCATCCATCCATCCATCCATCTATCCATCCATCCATCCATTAATCCATCCATCCATCCATCCATCCATCCATCCATCCATCCATCCATCCATCCATCCATCCATCCATCCATCCATCCATCCATCCATCCATCCATCCATCCATCCATCCATCCATCCATCCATTCATTCATTCATTCATTCATTCATTCATTCATTCATTCATTCATTCATTCATTCATTCATTCATTCATTCATTCATTCATTCATTCATTCATTCATTCGTTCATTCATTCATTCATTCATTCGTTCATTCATTCATTTATTCATTCGTTCATTCATTAATTTATTCATTCACTCATTCATTCATATACCTACCACAAAGGTCACGTGACAAAATGAGTCATATTGCTACCTCTGCTACCAAACGATACTGGTCTATGATTATATTGGTAGAGTTCATTACGAAATTTGCGTTTAAAATTAATTTGTGGGAGCCATTTGAACATAAAGGACGGTTTATATCAAGTTCTCGTTAGGTCGGGCCTGGGTCAAGTCAAACAAAGTCAAATTTTAGCTTTTATAGTATAGAACGGGTATTTATCCAACGCAACTCGTCATAAGGAATCCAATGGCGGGGTTAATTTCATTCGGAAAGATATCCCTCGCATGTGTAGGGGGGGGGGGGTCGGATGGACCCCCCCATGGTTTTTCGCGAATAACTCGCGTAAAAAGCGGCCGATCGCGACGAAACTTTCAGTACCCTCGCATTGATCAATTTTACACCTACCCTGAAAATTTCATGACCCTGACCCAAATGACCTTTGACCTGTGACCTCTTTTCCGAGACCATGTTTGGCCGGAATCGCGATTTCGCGTATGTCGGCTCGCATTAGCCGCGCGTTTGCAAGCTTTTCGTGGTTTCAAACGTTCAAACATGTGATTTGATGTTGCTCCCATACATTAGGGTGGGTGTCAAGGTCACCTGAAGGTCAGGTCAGGTCATTGACCTTTGGTGACCTCGGGTGACCTCGGTTCACTTTTTCGAGTTTTACATGTTTCTAGGCTAGTTTTTGAAGCTGAATTCGAATTTAGCAACCATTTGAACATTTACGAAGTAGTTTTGGTGACTTTGTAACATGTTACGAAGCTGTCAGAGGCGGTTAACACGTACTACGAATACCCGTCACGACGCCTACTGGTTGACCTGGCCTGACCTGACCCGATCTGGTCTAAATGCTTAAAGACATCATCTGTGATCAAAACTAACACAATATTCGTGATCTGCACCCCGAAAAACCCCTTAGCAGCCATACTTTACGACTTTCTAACAGGTCCCGATTTTCCCGACTTTGGTTCATTGACCTGACCTGGAAGGTCACTTGATGACCTAGGACCTTAAAATTGGGTATCATCGGCTTCCTCTCGTCACGGGCAACACGCTCGTTTTTTCCGCGAAGCTCTAGCTCAATCAGGGGCCAAACGGCAAGGGGGGGGGTCCAACCCCCCCCCCCACACATTAGAAGCTGGCAAACGCCGCACACATGCGAGGGATATAATACAGTGATATAAATGTCATTATTCGTTGTTATATAAGGAGATATCGGAAAGAGAAGACCAAGGGCGTCTCGCCGTCATGCCTAAAGGGGGCGCGAACAAGTGTAAAACTAGAATAACACACGAAGTATAGGTAGAATTATAGAAACCACAGAACTGACCTGGTGGGTCCACTACACAGCTCCATCTCGTCCCAATCAGCACCGCCTCACATTCACCCTTCAGAAAGTTACCGGTTCAACCACTCAGCACCTCCATGGCAGCCCCGCGGTCTGCGACACTGCCTGCCTCTCTGCGGTGCCGCCGTCACTGCCCGCAGCATATCCGGACCAAGACCGGCGCCCGACAGCTTCCTTCCGGTATAGGTCGGCCGCCAGCTGACCTCCAGGGTGGGCCGCTGGACAGGTCAGTGACCATCGAGAAGCAGCAAGAAATGCACTCAGCCTTCAATTGACCTGCGACCTTAGAATTCAGTGTTGTTGATTTATCTCGTAGAGGAGGTACCTCAATCAATCAATCAATGTATTCATAGGTACATCCACCATACAATGGCTCTTCCGCACCCGAGTCACACTGCGTCAATACGAATAAAAACAGATGAAAAGAGCGGGTAAAAGAACGGGTAAAAGAGACGGTGCTGACCATACGACACAACATAACACTAGCGTGCATTTTTGCATGCATTTACCTCATTTTCCCCTCGAAGCTCTTAGCCGATTTTGGTCATATACAAGAGGTCTAACATGCCAGCCAGCCTCCCTTCCCCGCTTGTGCCTCCTCTGAAATGGATGAATGATTTGATTTGCCGGTGCCGTCGAAGGCTTAATTGATCTACGGTTGCAGTTTTATTGCAGCTTTAGCAGATATTTCTTTTGAGTTGTTGCAGTAAAGTAAGCTTACAATTGCATGTTGCATATGGGATATGTTTGCAATGTGCATTCTGGCGTTTATTACGTGACCGGCTTGCTTTGATATCATATGCTATGTGAGTAAGTCATTTTCGTGTAGGTACTTACATGCTCATGCATGGGTATTTGAGATCAATTTAAATTCAACTTACGTAACCAGTCGTAAAAGAAACGACACAGCAGAACAATGGCATGACTCGGCGTGATTCGAGTTGATGGATGGTCTGATTTGAATGCAGCACCTCCTATCTGAACAATAGATCATACATTTCCACCTATCGTAGACTGAGGGCTAAGCTCAGAGGTGCAGGTTCACGAGCCGGGCACTGCATCATGAAGTGCGGCGCCTGAGATGACCGTGTCCACGTGGAGGTCAAAGGTTACCTACAGGGATCGCGTGTCATGAGCGGCAGGTCACGAACCGGTTGGCTCGGTGCCAACGCCCGCGGCAGAACGAGGCGACGTGCGGTCAGCGCCTGCTCGGAAGAAAGGAACGGAGTGATTTACTGGATGAGTAATTATTGGCTATTTATTTTTTCCGGTGTATTGAATGAACTGATTGATGTCAAGCACACGTTGAATAGATAATCGATTTCCATTTAAACAATATTTGCTCGTCAAAATGTTCTATGCCTTAGTGGCTATTAATGTATGTGTACCTCTTAATCACAACAAGTACTATTCAAACAACACTTTACGGTCGTGATTTCGTACCATACTTACATTCAGGGTGCCTTCGATGATTGATTATAATTGTTCCAGATGTTGCGGCCATTTCTTTTCAGCCTTCTTAGCGACTTTTCAATGCATTGCAGACATTGATTTCCTTTACAGTCCTACAGCCGTACGATCAAAGGTCATAAAAATCGCAAATAATAAATCATATTTGCATCAGTTCCGCCTCACTCATTCTAAATTGCGACACGCGGTCAGCCTACTCATCATAAACCAGCTCACGGGTGACACCTCTCATCACAATAACCATGACCACATCACTTACTCCAATCTTGCAGCTTAAATTGCTGCTCTCACTGGAGTGTTGCCGAGTGCTTCGAGCCTCCGCTGCCGTCAGCAAGGCGACTGGGCTGCGTCCATGACCGTGGGGTCCTTTGGGGAGGGGTTACCCCGCCACCACCGCCGCCGCCGCCGCCGCCGCCGCCGCCGCCGCCGCCGCTCATTGCAGTTGGCTGGGTTGGCTGCACCGTCCGGCCAGCACGGCGACTGCACGGCGGCAGTACGACAGCGGCCGTGGGGCCGGCCTGGTGCGGTGCGGCGCGGTGGCAGAGCTAGATGTGCATTGTGCGCTGTAGAGTGGCAGTGCCACTGTGAGTGACCGGACTACCATGTAGCTCGGTGGTGAACGTATAGTAAACTCGCTGATCCGGTTTGTAATGAACGGTTTGATGACTCGATGCTCAGTGCAGTGCCCACTTCATTTATCATCCACATTAATGTGAAGCAGCATTTTGATGGGTGACGGTGTTTTGACAAGACGTCAAGATGATTGACAGATGTCTGCAGACCCGTCAACGTTGGTGTTAACGTTGTGTTGACAGGGGTCAGAGTCTTTTGATCGTGCTGACGTGCGGCTCGTGACATAAGACAAACATTATCCATGATGATGAGTGGTTGTCGAGAGGCCGTAACCACTGAGGACACGTGTGTCGCTGCTTCTGTGAAGCCCCGTCAGTGGGCGATGCCCTTATCCGTGCTATCCATGGCACTATTGGTGGTGATGACCGTGGTGACCCCGGTTCAAGTCAGCGGTCTGATCCCGCCCCGGTATGACATGGCTCAGACACGCTGGTGGGAGAAGTCTGCCGTAAGACCAGCGTCGTCTCCACAGCAGACTACCAGGTACCGCGTGTACAACAGCGCAGGGCCCCTGCCGCCCTACTCGTTCGGCGTCGGCTCTAAACCGTCCTGCCGCTCCAATTCCAACTGCGCCAGTTACCGGGCTTCGTCAGCGTTTCCGGGACCCAGCACGGTGGCCGAGTACGCTGATTCGACCAACACGGCCGGTCCCAGGCCGCCGGCGGAGTTCCAGATCAACAGTGTCGGTCCAAAGCCGACCCCGGGCTATCAACCGGCAGTCAACACAGCCGGGCCCAAACCTCCCCGGGACCCGGTGCACAACAGCGTCGGGCCGAAAATGCCACCGTTCGTCTCAAACAGCGTCGGTCCCAAGCTGCCTCCGGGATACACACAGCCGTCGGGCAGCGACGGAGTCCAGACGGTTCCCTCCAGCTCTCATGCCACCACCGGCGTCGGCCCAAAGCCCCCGCGAGGCTACACGTTCTCAGCAGGACCAAAGTTGGGCAGGAATCTGTTGCTACCGACCACGCCTGAGCCGAGCTCCGTGGCACGGGCGTCAGTCCGCGGACCGGGCAGCGCGTCGGCCCACGCTCACGCCCAGGCGCACGTTCACGGGCGCGGACAAGACGGGTCGAGTGCACGCGCACACGCCCACGCCCAGGCTGGACACAGGAAAACATGGGAACATTTCGAAAAGGAGGTTAAAGCAGCCGGCAGACTCAAGTCCAGGTGAGTTTTTCTTGTAAATGTGTTTGGGAGGGTTCGCATGCATTGAACGCTATCATGATATCATGAAGCGTGTCGAAAAAGTAGTACGAAGGGCGTACGTCGCACTTGTAACACGGGTCACGCAACGTTTGCACCGACAAACCTGTGGGCTATCGTTGGCTCTCAGGATGTCTTCATGCCAGTCACACTCACAACAGATTTAGCAGAGCTTATACTTCATTAGAGTCTAGCGTATGATGAGACGTAGGTAGCAAGTATCTGTCGATTTCGAGCTAGTGTCTGTTCATGTTTCTATAATGTAAACTATGTTATCTACCCATGATATATTGGCAATTTTACGTTTGTACAAAAAATGTCGTTTTTACAGTTTGACGTTTACAGTCAGTACGTTTTTACAACAACAACAAAATGCTTAGCAAAACGTTGTAAGGCGCCGTTCCTGCACTATCCCGTTGAAACTTGAAACAGCCTGATGTGACTAACAAATGCCTACAAATTACGAGCAGAATAACACTCAAGAGCCTTGGTTAGACCTGACAGGCTAGTCGGCAAGAGTCTTAGTTGAGCCGCTCTGGAACTTCCCAACTCTTGTCGGAGACGCCCTTGTCTCTCCGCTCAGGAAGGTGTCTGAACTGAAAAGTGGAGTCACCAGCCGCCGCCGACGCCTGCCTTTGATCTCAGCGCTCGTGGCCATGGCTTCCCTAACGACTCTCTTCATCACCAAGCTTTCAGACGCGTGCTCAGCCAGACTAGGCCGTCGGCCCGCCCCTGGCCTCGCGTGAATCACCCAGACAGTTCTCTGGTCATTCAGCGGTGTGGCCGCTGCCAAATATACAAACGTTCCATGCATAAAGTGGAGGTGCGTAAAAATAGCGCCTGCCTTCGTTGTGAGGCGGCCAGCTCAGGGTGCAGTTCTCGGGAGCGGCTGGCGGCGGGGGAGATGTGTGGTGTCCGCCCACATCACACGGCTGACCGCTGGCCAACGGCGCGGCGGAAGGGACGGGCTGGAGCTGGAGCGGGGAGCAGAGAGGCGCCCCGGAATGAGCCAGAGCGGCGACAGGACCATGCCAGGACATATGTCAGTGTGTTTAGTTTTCTGGCATCCGATAATATGAAATATCATCTTATTTAAACAAACTTTTTGATTCATTTTAATTATTTTGTGACTTATTTTGCGATAAAGTTTGAAAAAAGCAGTATTGATTTGCCTAGCGCTAACTTATTGCAGCAGTAAGTAAAGGACGCCGGCTGGCTATCTATCATGTTACCTAAGTCATCGTACAACATTAGATAATCTCGGGTGCCCACTTTATATGAAACGGTGACGGGTGACGATTGATAAATATCAAATTTACCAATGGCATGGAAGCTGATTGGTGCGTATACGTATACGGTTTATATAAGTAGGTATGCGATGTCGGGTATTCAAAAATAAATATTTCACCTGTCGACCACGCCTCTCTTTCAACAGCCAACTCATAGCTCAGAAAAATACTCGACATTTGTAATCCATGCCAAACTTCAAAGGTAACATTTATTTAATTAGCTGATCTACATCATGATCTCCATCATCTGCATAATTTCCATTTCAGATTCATGTCACCATTTGCAATGTTCACGCCGCCCTTTGATCACGACCTGCTCACCCAGCCATCAACCTATGAAAAATCCCTAATTTAGGCGTCCACCAAACATGGTCACACCAATATGGCGGCTCCGCCCAGCGGTGCCGGGTCATGACACGGCGTGAGGTCCTCAGACGTCAGCCCGGCCGCTCCCGCGGCTGTAGCACAATGCCGGCGACGCCCCGGCTGAGCGGCCGGCGATGACTGGCCACTCGCGCCGCCCCCGACCCCGGACGCA